TCAAGAGACCTTTTTTACGGAAAAAACGTCGTAAAAGTATATTTTTTTAATCAGTAGTTTTATACAGGTACAGACGAAAAGTTATTACTCTTGAAACGAGTTATAAATATGTAGGTGAGTCATCATCATCAAATTTCTCATGTCAAAAAACTTCCAGATACCAATTTTCATCCATATATTGACGCTACTTCAGAAATTATTTGGAAAAAATGGAAATAAAAATGAAACTTCTACACCTTGTATCTCCGAAACTAAGCATTTTAGGACATACATTTATAGGAACTTTTTTACTTATTTTTATCTGCAGAATATGCTGCCGAAGTTTCTGGAATACAGTTCGGACCACCCTGTATATTAATTTCAGCACAACAAAACTGTTTTGCAATAAATGAAATAACTGAATTCCAATATTGTTCAGTTTGCATCCAAACAAATAGTACAGAATCCTGCTGCAGGGTTATTACGCTCATCATATTTTTAATCAAAACTTAATGTTTACGCATATTTATGAATAGGGGAATAAACTTTTAACAGGGCGCCAATCAAAAAGTTGTCGTAACTGTGTTTAATTAATTAATAATAATAACTGTGATTTTTTTGGAGATGACATGTCATAAAAATTTTTGATTATTTAATGTCAAATTACTACAGCCTACCAAAAAGTTGCCGCAAATAGGGGTTGCCACGGTTAAAAGTTGTTCCTAATATACAGGGTGTTTCAAAAAACATGTGTCATCTCTCCTCGTGGAGATTCCTCGCGTAAAAATAAGTTTTTTTTTTCATATCAACATAGATTCTGCTTTGTTTCGTAGCTACAGGGTTTCTCCTCCAAGAACTTTTAGTGATTCAAATGAAATTTTGGGGGTAAAAGTTACTATAAGTGCTACCCTACATATTTTAATGCTAAAAAAGTGTTAAAAATGATAAAAAAGTGATAAATTCATCAGGGACGTGCATAAATATGGGTTAACACTAGAATATTTTTCATGTGCGCCACAGACTTTTTTATTTTGATATCAAAATTGTGTAGGCCATTTAATGCTAATTAAAAGTTATTTCTTGGTATTTTGCCGAATTCGGCCACTTTGATGAGATAAACGCACTTTTATTGATCACAATTAATAAAATTAAAATAAAACTAAAATTAATAAATTATATATTTAACCTAATTTATTATTAAATATTATTACTAATAGTTATTATTACTGTTAGTCCAACCTACAGCAATTTCAAATAAAAAAATAATGGTATTTAAGGTAATTACAAAAAACTTAATTTTAAAAAGTTTTAACATCCTGTAACTCTAAAACTATGTATTTCCATACCCATGTTTATAGGGACTTTTTTTGTTATTTTTTAATGAGGAATCGATTAGTACATATTTATAGCTTTCGCAAGTTAATTGTTTAGATCAAAGCAAATTAATAAAATTGCATCTCATCAAGGAGGCCGAAATCGACAAAATATCAAGAGGCACCTTTTAATCGGCAGTAATCTGCTTACACTATTTAGCTAACAAGAGTCAGTGGCGTACATGCTTTTTTTAGAAAAATATTCCATTGATTACCCATATGCACGTCCTTGATGAATATGTCGATTTTTTTTAGCTTTAAAATATGTCGCATTTATAGTAACTTTTACCCTCAACATTTCATTCGAAACGCTAAAAGTACTTGGAAGAAAATTATAATAAATTGAAAACATATTAAAATTTTAACACCGTGTAGCTACGAAACAAATCAGAATCGTTGTTGATTTTTCATATCAACTTATGTTGATATGAAAAATTAATCTTATTTTTACGCTAGGAATCTCCCCACGCGAGAGGGCACATGTTTTTTGAAACACCCTGTTATAAAAAGGCGAATATTTCCGAAACCGTTAAAAATTTTGAAATACTTTAAACATAAAATATACAAAACTACATTTTTTAAAATAATATTGAACTGTAGTCTTATAGCAAAATTGGTTTATTCAAAACACTTTTTTTAATCTAAAAAATGCAAATATTTCAGACCGTTTTCTTATACCAGTCAAATAAATTGCTTACAGGATAAATATAGAAAAATATAAATCTACGTCTCTTTGTGTTCTTAACGTTCCCAGCGGTTATTGCTTGTATATGGTTTAAAGCACCCACACATTTTTCATTTTATGAGACAACGCTGGAGTAGAAATAAAACGAGAATCTTGTAGAATGCTTATTTTTACTACCGCAATGCATATATTCTTATTACAATAGCACTGCAATATTTTCTTATCTTAATATAAGTTTAAGATATAAGAGGTACAAACCTGCGTTATATTACGTTTCAACTTGCATTAATATTCATATTTCTATTCTGCAGTCATATACGTTTTATATGTGAAATGTGAATATTTTATGCAAACCCGGGGGGGGGGGGATAACCTTTTTTGTAAACTGTAATATTGAAATATATTACGGTTTACATATTTTCATATTTATATGTTAAAATATAGATCATATCAAATAAACTTTTAGTCACGTGATTAAGCTCAACTGGCACAGCGTTGCCCACTTTTACATATTTTATTTTAATCAAAATATTTAATGAAATATTTTGAAATAAAAATTAATTAATTATAAATATATAAACAGTTATTATTAGCACTTCAGGGACATCTCTCTCTCTCTCTTGAGTCCTTCACCCTACGTGAGAGTATGGTGACATCATGTGTTGATTCCCCTCACTTCCTCGGACCAAGTTGTTCGATACTGCGCCATATGTGAGACTTGGGGGAGGTTGTGGCCCACTAGCGTTTTGACTTGGTCTACCCACCTCTTAGGTGACCTTCCATTCGTCTTTTCTTTACCTTCCCCTCCACCATCAGTCTCTCAGTTGAGGTGCCATTCCTGGCAATATAGCCAAAATATCGGAGGATTGACTGTTTCAACCTGGTAATCAGACGTGTCTCAATTTTCAGCTCCTCAATAATAGAGATGCTTGTTCGATGAGCCGTCCATGGTATTCGCAACAGTCGTCGATATACCCACATTTCCAAGGCGTTTATTCTTTGCTTATCACTTTCCTTTAGTGTTCATGTTTCAGAGCCATACATACCTAGGGGGAATATGAGGGAGTTCGCAATTCGCAGTTTAGTTTTTCGTGTAATTGCTGAAGTCTTCCATATCTTAGTCAGCTTTGTTGTTGCATTCCTCGCCATTGCCACTCTGCGCCTGATTTCAGCCCCGTATCCTCCAGAGTTTTGCTATCATGGAACCTAAATAGTTGAACTGACTCACAAGCTCGTATCCAGCCACGGTTCGGACATCAGGTTGTTTATTGCGGAGGCGGTCAACAATCATCGTCTTGGTTTTCCATTTGTTTAGTCCAGTTAATTAAGGGACATAAAGGGCCACTATTACCTCTTTCAGTTTAAAATATACTTATAAGGCTGCGATGAAATTGCAACGGCTGTTAAGCTGCTTTGGCATTTTGTATACTTCGTATTACAAGCTGTTGTGACAGGCGAGGATACTTACCACTATACTACCAAAGAACTACAAGAGGTTCTAAAAAGAACAATTTTCGACTGCAACGTTTGTTAGTAAAAAAATAATCTTTAAGAATCAAAATGTAAGGGAATAAATAAACAAATAAATGTGGCAACTTGACATTTTTTACAGCAGAGCTACTACCTGAATCGCTAGCGGAAAATTTAAATTCCATTTAGTCAGGCAAGCGCCGAATATATCTATGGCTGGCAACAATGAATTTAAACATCAAGCCCTCGAGGACGTAACTAAAAGTTAAATTGGACATGTAACGGTCATATACGGGCTGCAGCAGAATTTGTGACCTTAGAGGCCATTCTTTTGTTGGCAAACAATGAGTCATCATTTGGTCACCAGCGACAATTTTAGCGATTTTTAATAGTTTGTGTGTAGTGAACTTTGTATAAACTTTATTACAATGGTGATTAGTGATTAGTTGTTCAGCTTTCAAGTGTAAAAGCAGCAGCGATAAGAAAGAGCCAGGAGTTACGTTTCATAGGTAAATAAACAGTCCACTCCAACTTTTCAGCATTTTCTTACTGAATTCGATAATTTATTTTTCAATTTCAAGTAACATCTATATGTACTTGATATGTGCTATACGTCGATACTAGTTTTATACCTTTTGTTAACATTTTAATACGTTTTTTTCGTAATTAATTAGTATGATACACCATAGACGTAGTCAAAACAATTATCAAAAAATATAAATATTGCTTCAAACAGCTAGGTTAAGAAAAATATGTGCCACGGCACTATTTGGTGACATCGGCACAATTTGCTTCCGGGTGTTATTTGTCCTTGGATTTTTTAGTCATTGTTGGTATCGCTAAATCTAATCTAAATAAAGCAACAAAACTATAATTAATATTCTTTATTCTTTTTTTCCAAATGTCACTAAATTATTAATTTTTGCGTCGTGATTGACAATGTAAAAAGAGATTTTAAAGCCTAGGCATAAAAGTAAAGCACTTTTACGCCTAAGCACAAAAGTATACTATTAAACTGTCATAAAGTGTCAAATTCAACGAGCGTAACCATTGTTTTTCGATATATAATTATTACTTACAACTTACCAGTTATTGCTTTTAAATGTTTTTACATTATTTGCAACGTTTGAAAAAATACCATGTTCCATTCGGATATTAGGAGTAAAATTACTTTTACTCAAATCATTTTTACTCCAAATAAAACAATAGGTATATTATTTTGGACTTCGAGTTAACGCTCTATGAAATCCCGGGTTGTCTGCAATCGTAAACTTGTACCTAATTATTTTAGCATAACCATTACCCTGACACTGCTACATTGCTAATGTAATTTCATTCTATTTTATATCTTTTGTTAGTTAGTCCAAACTTAGGTCTAGGTGATAAGAAATTAGAATTAGCCATCACATTATTATCTGGGTATATTGCTTGCAAATTGACTATGCAAGCAAAGCGTTTTGTACATGAAGAATCTGATTGATCGTTTTTTTCAGTTATCTAAGTTTGCATCAAACTCCTAGTGGTTTAACAATAAAATGGACTCCAAACCAGTTAATGAATGGTTTTACAGAAGAATCACAAGACAAAAGGTATAAGATATAGTATAATTCAAATCCTTGGCATGCCATAACCTATCAAGGATTTTTTTGTTCTAAATACATTTTTTGTTTATAAACTATACCACACGATCGAAAAAACGGCGTCAAAGGCGGCTGGGGAATGATAGTCGATGATAATTTTTGCGAGGTTAATCTCTTTTACTAAAAAGTCTTTTACTAAAAATTGACATAATTTTTTTAGAAATGATCATTAATTAAATTATAGAAAGATTAAAACGTGATTGAACGTATCTAACACATATCTAATTTGAAAAAAAAATATTTTTGTCGGTAAATAACGTCTAGGGCCTGACCTCGCTAAAAATGTCATTTATTGTCATTCCTCGGCCGTCTTTGACACGTTTTTTTTTCGATTGTATTTTGCGTATTATTAGAGGTAATAAAAATAACTATTTAACATTGATATATGTGTTTATTGTTTGTAAATTTATATATTTTTATTTCAATTAGCATATACTGGGATTACGCTCTGCAAGTTCGTTTAGATGACATAGTATACGTCCACTGTCATCAAGATAGTGAAGCCGGTGGAACAATTATTTTGGTAGGACAAGATGGCGTCCAGAGGCCACCAATACGTTTTCCAAAAGGTAAATGTAGTAATTTTCATTTATTTAAGATTATATTTGAGGCGTCAAGTTGCAAAATCTGCCTTATCCATTTAAAAAAAGACTAATGACATATATAGTGGACCCTAAAATCTACATAAACATAATCTCAAACTGCAGCAAAAGTCACCCATTACTATATAAAATTCACTACAAAAGTATGTTACTGCAGCGAAATTCGTCTTATATACATATATTTTCTTTTTACGATGTACTTAAACAGCCGTTAAACGGTAGCCTACTAAAATGCCGTTAATAGATATTGTGACGTCGTTCATGTCGGCGGAAAGTAATGCCTAGCCTTAGGCTTTTTTGCAAGAGCGCCTGTGGGTCAGTGGCTGAGGCTATCGCTTCGTAAGCGGATGGTCTGTGGTTCAAATCTCACGCCGACCAAGACTTTTTTATATTTTTTTTGCTTATAGCGTGATCTTATTGCATTGGCTTCACACTTTTTGGTTGGATTGGTTTAGTTATTTGGCGGGTTGGTTAGCGTGGTTATTTGGAGGGTGTTAATTCATTGGTTAGTTGGTTATTTGGTGGGGTTTGTTGATTTTTACTAATTTATGTTTGTTTTTATATTTTTATCAGTGTCGAGGTTAGTTGCGTTGGTTAAGTTGGTTATTTGGTGGGGTGGATAGCGTTGGTTAGTCCTTATAAAATTCCTATATTTCATAAAGCCGTCAAGTGCGTCACATCAACGACGTCATACCTATTAACGGCATTTTAGTAAGCTACCGTTTAACGGCAGTTTAAGTACAGCCTTCTTTTTATTGCCATTATTGTTTCAAATCCTACACTTTTTCAATGGCTTTTTACACAAGTATAATATTACTACTGACGTATCGACCTCCATTTAAAATCCTTACCTAATTTTAATAAAATAACATATCTAATAAATCAAGTCAGGATACAAACATCGTATGATCGAAAAAACGGCGTCCATTTGGCTTGGAAATTAACATGGATGACATTACCCATATAATTTTACATATTATAAAATGATCTTCATTTCATAGCTATCGCTAACGCCGTTTTTTTCCTTCATATCATTGTATTTTGCTGTAGCAAACCCCGCAATATGCATCATACTGCAACAAAACACGCCTTATCCGAATTATTTTTGCATTTTCTCTCTTTAAAAACTAAATATTAATTTGTATTTCTATAAAGACGAGATACAAAACAATGATTCCACTCAATGGACACGTTTTTTGTAAAATAACGCTTCAAACATTTGCTAAAATAGTTTTTGCATATTATCTCGAAACGAGTTTTTGGGATAAGACGGGTTTTGCAACTTGTTGCATTGTCGCTTTATATTTAATCGGAGCATTTAAAATATTTATTGCAATTTCCGCATCTCCTACTATGTCATACTTTATTTTTGTATATGCTACTGTAAATGTCCGAAATGCGGTAAAACCTAGGATAAGCGCGCTAAACCTAGGATTTACCAAAAGCATTAACTAATTAAGTTAGCCTGGTTATTTTGAGGGCGTTAATGCATTGGTTAGGCTGGTTATTTGGAGGGTGTTAATGCATTGGTTAGCCTGGTTATTTGGGGGGTGTTAATGCATTGGTTAGGTGGTTATTTGGTGGGGTTGGTTGGTTTTTACTACCACTTTCTTTTGGTAAATCCTAGGTTTTACGGCATTTCGGACATTTACAGTAACATATATAATTAGCATTGAACAACAAGACTAAGGAAGATGCAATTATTAAATACTCCGAACCAATGGGCACATAGCCAGGCAGAAATCTATGCTATCGAAAGATGCGTACAGTTTATCTTAGATAGGAACTATCAAAACAGGAAATAGTTATCTTATCCGATAGTTAAGCAGCACTAAAAACGATCAACTCAGTAACCATCAATTCGAATACCAACTTTAAGGTTGATTCTCACTAAACCTTCCGTTTCCATTCCATATCCATTCCATATCCATTCCATATCCATATCCATTCCATATCCATTCCATATCCATTCCATATCCATTCCATATCCATTCCATATCCATTCCATATCCATTCCATATCCATTCCATATCCATTCCATATCCATTCCATATCCATTCCATATCCATTCCATATCCATTCCATATCCATTCCATATCCATTCCATATCCATTCCATATCCATTCCATATCCATTCCTTGTATCCATTCCATATAACATTCCATATCCATTCCATATCCATTCCATATCCATTCCATATCCATTCCATATCCATTCCATATCCATTCCATATCCATTCCATATCCATTCCATATCCATTCCATATCCATTCCATATCCATTCCATATCCATTCCATATCCATTCCATATCCATTCCATATCCATTCCATATCCATTCCATATCCATTCCATATCCATTCCATATCCATTCCATATCCATTCCATATCCATTCCATATCCATTCCATATCCATTCCATATCCATTCATATCCATTCCATATCCATTCCATATCCATTCCATATCCATTCCATATCCATTCCATATCCATTCCATATCCATTCCATATCCATTCCATATCCATTCCATATCCATTCCATATCCATTCCATATCCATTCCATATCCATTTCATATCCATTCCATATCCATTCCATATCCATTCCATATCCATTCCATATCCATTCATATCCATTCCATATCTATTCTATATTGCAACTTGTTTCCTTATATTTTATCCATTTCCACTTATCCATTCCGTATCCATTCCTTATCCATTCCGTATCCATTCCATATCCATTCCTTATCCATTTCCATATCCATTCCATATCCATTCCATATCCATTCCATATCCATTCCATATCCATTCCATATCCATTCCATATCCATTCCATATCCATTCCATATCCATTCCATATCCATTCCATATCCATTCCATATCCATTCCATATCCATTCCATATCCATTCCATATCCATTCCATATCCATTCCATATCCATTCCATATCCATTCCATATCCATTCCATATCCATTCCATATCCATTCCATATCCATTCCATATCCATTCCATATTCATTTATACGTAAGCTTCCGTTCCGTATCAGTTCCATATTTTTATTGTACAATGTATATCATTACTAAAATTTTATTTTAAACATTTGTATCTTTTGAAAAAGGTAATAGATTTAATTAAGAGGCAAAAGAATAAATAAATATCAGCAAAATTTTGACAGAGCTGGTACCAATGAAAGAACTTGACAACGCTGTTTCCGATACGCTTCAGTCCGTCTGCCAAAAAAATGTATGGAAGGAAAGGATATGGAACGGAAGGGAAACGGAACAGGTAGTGTGCACGGGAGGGAGCTGATATGGAAGGTATAGTGAGAATCAACCTCAAAGCGGAACTCAAGAAACTGGAATACTCCATCCGTAACCTGGAATAGGAAACCTCTAACGGCCTAAGACACTCGAAAAAGTTTTTGGAGAACTTGCAACCGAGAAAAATCAAAGATTTTCTTTGATTTAAGTAAGAACAATCTTCGGATTGTCTCCTCTGTGACTGTCTCCTCAACGAACACCTCAGTAGATTGAAGCTGAGAACCAACGGCGAATGCAGATTCTGCGAGAAAGATGGGAAAACACCAGAACACCTTATTACTGAGTGCGCCGAGACGAACACCGTTTTTGGTACGGCTGATGTCGGAGATGGAGAACTGGCCTCTGTGGAGCCGTATCACACCGTATTCTGAGACTGTATGATTATATCTCGTTATAACTTAAGAAAGGAGAACACACAATAGATATGTAAGGTCGCGGCCATTAAGCCCTTCTAAGCATTCTACATTCTATAACATATGACGTTGTTCTACATTGTATTTTGCACAAAGAATTTATTGATGTATTTATCGTTCCATAATCGGATCTTTGGCAATTGTATCTGGTCTATTCTGAATTTGTAATGATAATAAAACTTTTTTTAAAGCCCTGTTTGCAGCTGTGCACCGCTCATTCAAGCAAATCGAGCTCGTCACTAACATTTTTATGCTTAGCAACAAAAGGACGGTGTTTGGCAAAGTTTGCAATTTTGTTCTTTGTTAAAATTTTATATGCGTTGCAATTTCATTCTCAAAGGGAAAATAGCTGCAAAACTGAACTGTAACCCCGTGGGAGTTCTCCGTAGATTTAAAATTGCCGCTCTTGGCTAATTTTAGAATAAAATTCTAAAGCATTCTAATAAACCTAATGATATGTTTATTAAAGCAATATTTGTGTAAAGAAATACTAGTAAAAATAATGTATACATTGGTTTAGGTAAAATACAACTGGCAAAAAGTAAAAAAAAGTTTCCAAGCTGTTCGAAGGTTAAGAGTTGGTTGGTTGAAAATATTATAAATGAACACGCTCTTTACTTTGCGAAGAATAGACCGAAATAGGTCAAGGTCGCGTTTTGTCGTCTAACTTTAACGCGTTTCGGTTTATTTCGAGTTGTCTTGACCTATTTCGGTTTGTCTCGACCTACTTTCGATTCTTAAAAGCGCTTCAAAACTACTCGTGAAATTGCGGAGAAGAGCGTGGGGGGAATTTTCTGGCGTTTCCTGTTGTCTCGTTCGATTTCGTTTCGTTTCTAGGTGTTTCCAAAACGTGTTTTGGTCGAGCTTTATAGAAAAGGCTAAGGTCTACGCTAAATGCTACAAATAAAAATATCTCGACAGCGCGATGATGCGACTGTCCTTGTTACATCTTGAACGCCGCCGAACGCGAGCCAGTGTCAACGAACTTTCCGGCAGCGATTACGTCTCCCGTTCGCTGTTTCATTTGGTGGGTGATACGGTTTTTTAAACACATCTCGTTCTTGGTATAAAATAAAAAATCCGTCGCGCGTCGCGATGACCGATTCTGAGTGCGGCTGCAAAAAAAGAAATAATTTTGCAATCATCCTTCAGTTCGATGGTGTATTCAGAAAAATTAAAAACTATTGAAGTAGGCCCTCCAAAACATATTTTGAATATTAATACTAAATTAAAATCGTGTATTCTTCGTTTTAGTGAAAATGTTTATAAAAGTGAACATTGTTATGTGGTTGTAAGCAGTGATGGGAAAAACCGATTAATTTCAATAATCGAGTACTCGAGTTTCAAGCGATTGCAATAATCGAGCGATCGCTGGAGCGAAATATCACTCGTATTTAAAAAGCGAATTTTCGCTCGAGTTATCCCGTCACTAGTTGTAAGGCACTCAATAAACTTTTTTTGTTGGCATTGTCTACTATTTTATCTAACAGATATCTTTACAGCTTTGTTTTTTACCTAAATTTAGTTCTTTTTTTTAATTGGTTTGATTATTTTATTAACCTGTGACATTTTTTGTATATTTTATTACGAAACCTAACCAAACAAAACGTGGCGGTATCTGTACCCGAGGCAAAGAACTTTTTTCATAAATCTCAGTGAAATAAGTAAACCTAGACGTTTCTAAAATATCTGTTGTTACGATGATATTTCGTTAATTACATCTCGTTTTATGTTGATATAAGTACAGTTAACAATAAAAAACAAATAACCAATCGCGGCGTGCCTTGGTCTATTTCGTGTTCTATTTCGATCTATTTCAGAGTTTGCGACCGATATTCCCCGCAACATAAAAAAAGCATTGAGTTTATTTCTTAAAGTATTTCGTGAAACAATTCGGGCATAGTGTAAAGGGTGTTTTGAGTAAAAACATTCTCTACAATGATGAAACGATAAATTAATCGTTTCATCCAATGTTAACACTATGAACAACTGTAGCTCCTAATTGTCGAGTATGTTACTTTGAATGTGTTATTAATTATTTTGTTTTGATTAATTATTCTGCCAACTATTACAAAACTGCAAAAAATATATTTCTAGAAACTGTGATATTTCTGGAGTTTAATATAGGTTATTATATTACATAATTATGTTATGTTAATGGTTAAATAAAATATGAAGTTTGAAAGGGCAGAAGCGATGAGGGCGTAATGAATACATTTTGTATTTAAAAATTGATACTTTAATTGACTATTTGTTTTAGATACGGTTAATATTGTTTTAAACAATAATTAAACCTTCGAACACAACGCTTTTAAAATGAAAGTTGCTGATATATACATGATATAAAGAAAAGTTTTTCGATACTAGTACAAAAATCTACTATATTTATTTTTCTTGTTAATGTGTCTGAAGAACGATCGATGTAATGACGCTTTGCGGAACTTTTAATAAATTTACAACTTTGAACTTTGGGTATTTCTTTCGCTTATAAATCCATAATTCCGGTTTAATTAAAAACAAATATTTTTACTTAAAAAATAAAAAACGTACTTTAGTGGTAATTCATTTTTGTATATTTTAGGTAGCATTTTGAAATGGTGATGTTTTTAATTTAATACAAAACGTAAGCATATACCGGGTATTTTTAAAAGTGGCTCACGCTTATAAGTTTATTATTTTTTTTTCAGATAAAAAAAAACAGATTTGGTGTGTTTGTATTGTGTTGTATGAGTTTTTTTATTTATTTTTATGAGTTTCGGTCATTTCCTGATTGACAGGATATTGCTAATAGTATTATAAATATGTATTAATCTAGAGTGTCATGAGTATTAAAACGACTAATTTTTATTCAAGGAGCCTTGGAAAAATAAATTTGATCATCTGTACCCGAGGCAAAGAACTTTTTTCATAAAACCCAGTGGCCCAGTGAAATAAGTAAACTTCTAAAATATCTGTTGTTACGATGATATCTGTTTAGACGCTTCTAAAATATCTGTTGTTACGATGATATTTCGTTAATTACATCTCGTTTTATGTTGATATACAGTTAACAATAAAAAACAAACAACCAATCACGGCGTGTCTCGATCTATTTCAGAGTTTGCAATGTTTCAGAGATATTTTTGTATCTTTTCCTGACAGGTTAAAAGATGCCCAAAACGTATTTTTAATTATAACTTAATTTTTTCAAATAGAATGAAGGTGGCTCGTTAGTATATTTAAAAAAATTTCGAGTTATATCGTCTTTATATTTATTGTCGTCTCTAAATTGAAATTTAAAATATTTAATTATTATATATTTAAGCAAAAGTGTCAAAAGTTGACATACGATATGATATCCTATTCAGAATGCCCTTTTTTATCAAATAAAGTAAAAAATACCGAGGGTACCAGATAAAAATCAAAATGTGCAATCTTTTTCGGTGAAACAGGAAGACCGACAGATACTATTTGAATACGTCAATGAATCTCTTTTATGTCATATTAAATCATCATACCAAATATTTTTTTATAATATAATACTTTACAATACTTTTTTTAATTGAAAAATTAAAAAAGTTAGAGGGGTTAGGTTAGGTTATGCAAAAAGTTAGAGAGGTGAGCTACTTTTGAGAAACACTCGGTATATGCAGATATAAATTTTGGTATATATGAAGATTTTTATATTTTTACAAATAGAATACCAGATATTACTTTTTTAGATTTCAAAAGTAATATCAATATATTAAAATGAAATTATATTAAAATTATTAAAAATATATTCAAATTCTTACTTAAATCTCAAGTAAGTGAAAAATTTAGATTTATAGAAATACGTCAAAATAGTTTGAAGAATATAACATAACCATAAATTTTATTAAGATCATTTATTATATCATTCAAAGTTAATGATATCGAGGCTTTGCTAATGACAATAAAATGTTTTGTGTTTATTTTAGGTGGTCATATGCTGGCGTTTCTTAGCTGTTTGGAGACCGGTCTACTACCAAGAGGGCGATTAGATCCACCGTTATGGTCACAACGGTGTGGTGCTAACTCAACAACCAAAAGACGAAGACCATTGCCAGCCTTGTCAGAGACCGAAGAAGCAACCAAAGATTATGTATTTAGAATAATCGATAATAGTGATCATAAACATTTGTGTAAGTATACCTCAAATAATAAAGAAATACAAAAAATAATTGATGCTAAAATTTATTTTATTTTATAGTTACATTTTTCCAAATAATGTTTTAATAAAAAAAAATATTAATAATGTAATAAATACTTATATGTTTAAAGATTTTTTAACAAAGATTGTAACAATATATATCAGCAATGTTCAATATAAATTTTGTCTCACCCTGTACAACTTTTTGAGTCAAGTTTTTATTGAAATTTAAAATTTTTGGAAAATGTGTTAAATTTGTCAACAGCCTTACATTTTAATTATAAAGCAGATATTTTAACTAAGTATATAGTATACCGGGTGTTGCATCGTCGAGCGGGACATAGGAAATCCCATGTAAATTTTAATGGGGTCAATTATTGACTTCCCTAATTATTTTAGAGAATAATTCTATTTAGGTTTATTGAAGAGCACTAAAACCCACATTCAAAAGAATAAATTTAGATATTTTTGATTAGCCCGTTTACGAGTTATCGCCGATTTCTTTTTAAATATTTCTCCTTTCTTATGGCCCTGTATTTACTTATGAGCACCAGTCAAGGTAAAAGATAACTGTCAAATGAAGTTGTCATTTCAGAAATTTATCTATTTAGTGCTTTATTATTATTATTATTAAAAACTCATACCTACATCGAAAATATTAGCCATGAATTACACTACCGAAGAAAAAGTATTGATGATTAAATGGTATTATCCAGGAAATAGTTATCAAAAGGTGTCGGACATGTTTGCTGCTACAGAGATACAGATCCGAATAGACCGATACCTGGAAAATCTACAATCGCAAGGAATATCCAGAGATTTGAGACCAAAGGTACCCTAATAAATAACTGCAGATGTGAAGCAAGGCAGGAACAAAGAGAAGATGCAAGAAATGATACCGACTTAGAAGTTTACACAAAACTTCTTACGCGAAATTTAAATGCAGAATATTATTTGGAACTACTCGAAAATCATATTTTACCTGCTTTACATGATGTCGGTAGGGAAAATCAGTAAGTTTGGTACAAATGGATCGCTGCCCGGCACATAGTACCCTGGCTGTTCGGGAATATTTAGACAATAGTTTTAACGGAAACGTTATTGGCCTAAATCATACAGTAAATTGGCTAGCAAGGTCTCCTGATGTTTCGCCAAATGATTTCTTTCTCTGGGGCCATTTAAAAAGCAGGATATACAAGGATAAAAAATACCCAAATCTAGACGAGTTAAAAAATGCTATTTCTTCCGAATGCAATATATATGTATCTCTTAATTTCAGTTTACCAAATAGCGAATGTAAGAAGAGAATTTTATGATCGCCTGGGGTATTGTCTAGCAGTCGATGGAGGAATATTTGAACATCTTAAATCCTGAAGTTCTAACAATTTAATAGTACCTAAATTAATAAGTAATTGAATATTGTAATAATACTATAATTAACCTTGTAATTAATTACTTTATTTTACTTTAATTCATATTAATTTGTATTTATAAATACATCTTTAAGATTTCCGATGTAGGAATGAGTTTTCAATAATAATAAAGCACTAAATAGGTAAATTTCTAAAATGACAACTTCATTTGACAGTTATCATTTACCTTGACTGGTGCTCATAAGTAAATACAGGGCCATAAGAAAGGAGAAATATTTAAAAAGAAATCGGCGATAACTCGTAAACGGGCTAATCAAAAATATCTAAAGTTATTCTTTTGAATGTGGGTTTTAATGCTCTTCAATAAACTTAAATAGAATTATTCTCTAAAATAATTAGGGAAGCCAATAATTGACCCCATTAAAATTTACATGGGATTTCCTATGTTTCGTCCGACGATGCAACACCCGGTATAAAGTATCATCTTTTATTGTATTAGCTGAATTTACTTAATTGTTATTTTATTTGAGTCCTTTTTTAGTACGGCTTTTTACTTTAAACTCTCTTAAATGTTAATATACATTTGGTATTAAATTAACCATTTCAAAACATATTTATAATTTATCCGTGAAAAAAGTTGATATTTGATTTTTCAAGGTTTTAAAAACGTATGTTCATTAATTTCTAGTAAAAAGAAACGATTTGATGGATATCAAGGCTTCCCTACCGACAAAAGTAAGAGTACAACTATGCAGTACCAGTACTAGTTCAGAAAGTTCTTCTAAAAGCTTGAGTATAGGTAAGGTACTTAATTAATTAATTCTAATTTCTTTTTCTAAATCTATTTTATTTTGTACGATCTATTTAGGACTTTGTATAATTTTGGTATTATAAGTTTGTTTTAAAATTGATGCTCGTTATTAATCGCTTTTTTAATTTAATATTCGAAAATATTTTATCTTTAAAATACTCAGCATTCTTCAACCTTATCTTGTCAAATAATGCACAGCGGAGAATATTAAATTATCCCAAGCTTGCCTTTAATGAAGCTTGCCGCTCAATTGGTTTTAGAGTTTTCAATAAGATTTCATCGCTAACTTTAAATTATGTCGCGTTATGAATATTAACGAGATTTTTATTATATTATCTTTCGTATTGAAAGCGTATTATCTATGCTGGAATCATTCAGTTTTTTAATTTCGGTAACAGGAAATAAGAATAAGTTTTTCAATGGTATTTTTAATTTAATAATTTTTAAATAATGAATTTGATACTGTATTTCTGACTTTATACTTTTATTTAGTATCCTCAAAACTTTTCTAATTTTTTTAAGAGTTTATTTCATATAGATACTACCAGTAAATGTAAAAATAGTAAATTACAAGTACAATAATTTCTTGGTGATGTCTGGTCTCTTTATTATTATTAATTTTTACAACAGAAAGGATTGATTAACACTTAGTCTAATTATAATTACATTAACATTGTCAATGGTGTTTATTGGCATTTATCATCAACATTTTTTAATTGATTATTTCAAATTCCTAACAGGATCATTAAATATATCTTAATAACTCATAACCTCTCTGTATCTGATTCACCTTTTTTAATAATTTTAAACCAACGGTTCTTTGGCAATGTTGTTGCTAAAATGTTTTTTTTTTAAATTTAATACAGGGTGGTCCGAACTGTATTCCGGAAACTTCGGCAGCATATTCTGTAGTAAGTAAAAAAGTTCGTATACACTTATGTCCTAAAATGCTTCGTTTGAGGTACAGGTTGTAGAAGATTCATTTTTATTTCGATTTTTTCGAAATAATTTTTGAACTAATGTCGAAATTTGTAGTGGAAATGACATATTTATGGCAGCGCTCTCCATTATAGTAGAGTAAACTGCAGGAGACAGGATTGGGCATTAGATACAGATACGACGGCGATCTGTTCAACATAAAAAGACTCAGGGCAAAAACACGTACAAAATTCATCACAGAACTTCAATACGCTGATGACTGCGCTCTATAATTGCAAACACGTTACAACAAATACAAGAAATGTTGAACACATATACCTAGGCGTACGAGACTTTGGGCCTTAAGCTAAACATCGACAAAACCAAAATAATGTGCACTCCCCGGAAGATCATAACAATGCTATAAAAATCGGAAAATAACTATTGGAATGTGGAATTCAATTACCTCGGCAGTTTGATGTGGGAAAGCGCCAATATCGACTCTGAAATTCAGCACAGGATTAGCAGCGTCTCAAAAGCATTCTGGAAATTAAAAGACAGGGTTTTCTACAATTATGACAAGAGTATAAAAACGAACCTTGTAGTGTACCGAGCAATTATAATCCCCACCATGTTATATGGGAGCGAAACCGGGTGGCCGTACCGTCGACACATGAACGCATTAAACAAGTTGCAACAGAGACTGACTAGACAACTCTTAAGAATCCGGTGGTTCCATCATGTCTCAAACGTATCGGTCCTTGAAAAAGCTAACTGCGAGAGTATTGAAGTCATGATTACAAAATCCCGCTTAAGATGGGCTGGTTACGTGTGCAGAATGCAAGAAAACCGCATACCAACATCTCTGCTTTACGGTGAGCTTGTAGACGGTAAGAGAAGGCCGGGTGGACAACTCAAAAGGTACAAGAACATTTTCCACGAAAACTTAAAGGGGATTAACATGCAGAATGAGTGGGAAGAAGCAGTTCACAATAGAACTCAATGGAGTAGAACTGTAAACTCAGTTAACAGCGACAACCAAAAAGTAAAGAGGCAACAAAGCAATGAGATTTTTGAATCTCCGGAGTGCGGTAGGCAAATAACATTACGTATGGGGTTTTTCAGTCACAGAAAGTCTCATGAAACAAAACGCCTTGCGTGACCATCTTCTGATGCGTGGCGAATACTCGTTAGCGAGTAATGCCAGTATGTATGTAGTGGAAATGAAAATTGGTATCTGGGGTTTTTTAATATGAAAATGTTTAGTTCGATGTCAATGTAACTTCTATTTGCAGGGGGCGTCACCTACATGTTTTATATTGTTTTGAAGAGTAGTTATTTTTCTTCCGTCCCTGTATTATACTACTGAGTGCAAAAATATACATTAACGCATTATTTTACGTAAAAAATGTTTCTTGGTAAAAATCGCTGCGAGCAACTGTTCTCAAGATATTTGGATTTTTCATAATTAATACATGCCATCAATGAGAAAAATTAAACATGTTCACTAGATAGATATTTGAGTAAATTAATAATTTTCCAAACATGTTTCAATTTTTTTTGAAAAATCCTATTTAATTAGGTTAAAACACAAAAGACAAAGCAAAAAGACTCTGTTTTGTATTTATAAACCAGGTCTCTTTGGGATTAATGGACGCCTTTTTTAAATTTCAGTTGAATTTACGATACTAAAATGTCTCGAAAATTATTACTTCAGTCAAATATCTTTCTAGTGAAAATCTTTAATTTTTGTCATTGTGATTGATTGTTAAGAATCCAAATATCTCGAGAACGGTTGCTCGCACCGATTTTAACCAAGAGACATTTTTTACGTAGAAAAAGGCATAAATGTATATTTTTTCACTCAGTAGTGTAACACAGGGACGGACAAAAAGTTATTGTTCTTCAAAACAGTTAAAAAAGATGTAGGTGGCACCCCTACAAATAGGAGTCATATTCACATCGAAATCAAAATTCTCACGTTAAAAGATACTTAAATACTCATTTTCATCCAAATACCGAATTTAGTTCAGAAATTATTAGGAAAAATAGAAATAAAAATGAAAATTCTACACCCTGTATCTCCGAAACGAAGCATTTTAGGACATAAGTTTAAACAAACTTTTTTACTTATTTTTATATGCAGAATATGCTGCCGAAGTTTCCGGAATACAGTTCGGACCACCCTGTATATTTCTTAGCTATTAAAATTGATTAAAAATTAATGAAATTACTTGAGAGGAATATTTCCTATAATATAATATAATTTATTTGATTGTTACATACAAATTAGTTTTAAACCTATTGTACATTTCAATACAGTTTGTGCTTTTATCATCAGTAGTAGGAAATATGTTATCTATTATTATTGTTCTTAGATCAACAGATAGTTCCAGATAGTCCTCCAAACGTCTGTATTCAAGCAGTTTGTGATTCAATGAAAAAACAAATAATATCAAGAGCCTTCTACGGCTGGTTAGCCTACTGTAGACATCTATCTACAGTTCGAACTCATTTAAGTGGTTTGGTCAATAGTAAGATAATACATGGGGAGAATGCATCACAAGGTAACTGATATTCTAATAGTTCCTGATTAAAATTAATAAAATTACTTAAAACATACATTTACACTTATTTACTCCATACACGAATAAAACGGGCAATGATATATCAAACTGCTATAAAATTAGTCAAGTGCGAGTCGGACTCGAGCACGAAGGGTTTCGTACCATTCATTATCTATACAACCTTAGACACTATATTATTATAAACTTTTTTTTCCGATTTAGCTGAAATTTTGAATGCGCGTATAAGCAATTTAAAAAAAATGAAGAAACATATTACTAAAAATTGTATTAATCAATAATAAATATGTAAAAAGTAAAAATAAATATGTAAAAATATGTAAAAATTAAAAAAAACGATTAAAAAAAGTCGCCGTGACTAGGATTCCAACCTGCCTTACTACGGCCCCTACGTCATAGCAGCGCAAAGTCCTAACGCTTTAAACCACGCGGCCAACTAGGACTTGAAAGATTCTATGTAAAATTCTTACTTAAAAGATAATGTTTAGTGAAAGTACTTTTTTCTTTATAAACATTTATTTAATTCTGTTTTTCGTATTTGTTCTTGTAGCGGCATCATAGATACATTATCTGTAAAAATTTTAACTGTCTAGCTATAATGGTTCATACGATAGACCTTTGTGACAGACGGACGGACGGACAGCGAAGTCTTAGTAATAGGGTTCCCGTTTTTACCCTTTGGGTACGGAACCCTAATAATGTAAAAATTATTATTTACTTTAAAAAACCTTCGAGTAAGCGTCAGATAAAATATCAAACTTTTTTGAATTTGACCTGGGTGAAACGAGTAAATCTAGGCTAAGCCTTTATTTACTCCATTTTAAATTTTATTTACAGTTCTTATTTAAGTCTGTTAAAGTTTGCTGTCGTAATTACTGTATAGTCTGTAATTTAAAAACATTTATTTAGCTTTTTTTGTGTAAGTATAATCACGAAGGTAAAACTCCGTATGAGTAATTTTTGTTCTTAAAATTTCCTTTAGATTGGTAAATATATTATACGGTTACACGTGATCAGTATTTCCAAACTTATATTTCGTATGTTCATGTTTTCGTACTTTGTATGTGTTTTATTATTTCAACTTTTGATTTTTAAATGATACCCTCAGTAATTTTTTTCTTTATTAGATAGGAAATTACAATTTGAATAGAATCACATACAGAGAAGACCAGGCTACTAGTAACATAGCAAGTTGCCGGACGAATTTACGTTTACCCGATTTGCGTTCGTACTCGACATTCACTGCCTGCTGCCGGCTAGTCGGCTGGTCAGGCAGTACGCAGTTGCATTTGTGCTTGGACGGGCCGGTCGTGACAGACTAGGAACACGACGCGAGGAGTGCCGAGTATTTATTATTTTCATTTTAAGTGTTTAACTTTACTTAAGGTAACATTTAAAATAAAAATACTTAAATATTTATTATTTGAGTGTGTTTACAAGCCAAAAAATATAAAATAAAAAAATAAATAAATTCTCTAAACCACAAAAAAACTAAAATATTACTCTAAATAAAAAAAAGTTATAACAAGTGTTCAAAAAGACCATCTTCTTCTGCTAGACAGAAGCCTAGGCGGTCGTAAAATCCCCGTCCGATATTAGGGCTAATAGTTTAGAAAGCCTCTCGTATTTTTACTTAAAGATCATCCAGATTATTAGCCCTATTATGACCATACACTTTGGATTTTACATAATAACTCCACAAAAATAAATCATTGGGAGAAACATTTGGTGATCTAGCGGGCCACAAAATAGTTCAAATATTATTGAACAATATTTGCATTGTGGGCAGGGCAACCACCTCAGCAATTTGATTACTTGAAAACGTGGGATTTTGATCCGCGATAGCACAAATATATACTTGCTTTAACTCCTGTTCTTCGTTAATCAACACATCAGGCTTTTTGTGTTTATGTGGGAACACGCACCCATGTGTTTCAAAATTATTAATAACTCTTGAGATAGTAGCTAAAGATGGAAATGGCCTGTTTACAAAAGTTTGTGGAAAAATTGTTTGTATATCCCGATAAGACCTATTTTGGAAATACCATTTTACAATTTGAATTTTCTCACGAACTTCGTAAATATCCATTATTTTACTTAAAAAATAAATTTTACACGAGAACTCTCGCGAGAATCGATGTATTCGTTTTGGCTATTAAAATACGAATAAATACAAATTCTGAAACATTCTTATCACATATCTACCTATTTTTATTTTATCGCATTTTTTCACCTGCTTTTTATCCGGCGGACGGGTATACGCTTATTCGTCCGGTTCTGCCTATGTTACTACTACGGTGGTCTGGTCTGTATATATCAACAAAGGCATTTTTAATTAAACAAATATCATTTTAAATTTCAATCTAGGGTGCCATGGTCATAGATGTAACGACAATTTGACTCGAAATACCAAGTGTGTGGTATCAAATTATCCGTAAAAAATTGCTTTTTCCAAACAAGTTAATGAGTCACTTTTGTTCTATTTGAAAACATTGAGTTATGTGTAAAAATACGATTTGGACATCTCTTAATCGACTACAAGAAGACACTAAAAATATTAGACAATAAAATCTATTTTTCCATAGCTCCTTTATTAAAAACGAATGGTTTTAATGGCACTCTATAGATTGAAATTTAAAATGCTATTTTTTTAGTTGAAAATTTCAAAAGCTGGCATATAATATGTGATTCTATTCAGAATGTTATTTTCTATAATATAAAGTAAAAAGTATAATTTATAAAAAATAAAAGTATATAATTATATTTATAAATATCGAGGGTATCATTAAAAAATCAAAAGTTGTAGTCATTTCCGGTGAAATAGGAAGCAGCCAAAAGTAACTAAATACGTCAATCAATCCCGATTTATGCCATATACTCACATACCAAATTTCTAGATTTCGTTTTTTATCTAAAAATATAAAAAAGTTATAGGGGTAGCACTTTTGAGAAAGACCCGGTATACATTTTGTTACGAGACGCTTCTTGTTTAATTTACTTTAAATGCTCTTTGTAACTAAGCAACATTAAAAGTTTAATGGGATTACTTTAGACAAGTGTACTTCGCATTTTAAAACAGAAGAGAGATAGTTTAATTTAGATTAAGTAGGAAATGCTATTAGTTTCTAGACATTTTAATAGTTATTTAACTTTTATGTAAATGAGTTTTAAACTTACTTTGAACTATTTCAGGAAAATATGTTCAAGTAAAATATTTATTTTTTATTTTTGTATATATCTAACAAATATTGTATTATGTACTTTTAGGAATTACTTTAGAAAAATGGCAAGAGCTATGTGTCAATGGTGTCGTCACAGATTATGCCGAAGTCTACAGGTTAACCTATTTTGGTGGTATATTTCACGATTTACGCGTTGAAATATGGCCTTATTTACTGGGCCACTACAAATTTGGCAGTACAAATGAACAAAGAAAAGAACTAGATGAAGAAACTAAGCAAGCGTAAGTATAATTGAATTTAATTAATACAGAGTGACCCATTTTTGAGAAAAAGTTTTATATTAGATATAAAATATACAGGCAAAAATTTTAAAAATATTTTGTGAATTACAGGATGATATACATAAATCTGTTAAAATATAATATTTTTTATTTACGCCAGTGATGATTTTTTAAACGATATATAATATACCGGGTCCGGCAATAGTGCGTCGGGCATCTGTAGCTCTTAGAATAAAAAACTTGAGCATTTTGTTTAAGTGCAAACCTAAAGTATGTGCCAGGATGTATTTCAGGAAAATATTTTAACTTCTATAGGGTGGCTCAAAAAAGTGTGAGTGGACCTTGATGATTTTTTTAAATGGAACACCCTGTATATTATTGCATTTTTGGCTTCCTTTCAGATCACTTTACTTAACCCTAAGATATGAATAAATATATTTCGATAGTTTCAGAGATATTAAAAAATAAATCAAAAATATATATTTTCAGCCTTCTTAAAAAAATTATTAGAAAATACAAGAACTGTTCTGAAGTCAAAACTATATTAGGTACTTACTTTAGATGGTCTGTACTTACTTTGCTATAAATATGAAAATCGTAAATTATATAGGATGTTCAAAATTCTACGCCAAACTTTCTAAAATATAAAATAATTTTTCTTTGTTTGTTTAAATGGAACACCCTGTATATTATTTTTTCAATAGACGGAGAATTAAAAAATGAACATTTTTTGTATTTAGAGTATTTCAACATTTTTAACGGTTTCGCAGATATTTGCGTGTTTATATTTCATATGGCATTTTCCACAGTAAATTGTTATCAAAGTCACCCAATGATTTTTCTCTCGTATTTTACCATTGAAAGCGCCATATGAAATAATACTGCGCGTATCTGCGAAACCGTTAAAAATTTTGAAATACTCTAAATACAGAAAATGTACATTATTTAACTCTCCATCTAATAAAAAAATAATATACAGGGTGTTCCATTTAAAATAACAAAGAAAAATTATTTTATATTTTAGAAAGTTTGGCGTAGAATATTGAACATCCTGTATGATTTACGATTACCATGTTTATAGCAAAGTAAGAACAGACTATCTAAAGTAAATACCTAAAAAACAGTTCTTGTATTTTTAATAATTTTTTTTAGAAGGGCTAAAAAATATATATTTTTTATTTATTTTTTGATATCTCTGAAACTATCGAAATGTATTTATTCATATCTTAGGGTCATGGGTAGCCAAAAATGCAATAATATACAGGGTGTTCCATTTAAAAAAATCATCCAGGTTCACTCACACTTTTTTGAGCCACCCTATAGAAGTTAAAATATTTTCCTGAAATACATCCTGGTACATACTTTAGGTTTGCACTTAAACAAAATTCTCAAGTTTTTTATTCTAGGAGCTACAGATGCCCGACGCACTATTGCCGGACCCTGTATAGTTCATATCAAATAAACTTTTAGTCACGTGATTAAGCTTGACAGGTGCAGCGTTGCCCACTTTTACATATTTTTTTTTTGATCAAAATTTTTTAGGAAATAAAAATAAATTAATTATAAATATATAAACAGTTATTAAAACTCACCTTCTTAACAGCACTCATAAAGGGCCATTACTACCGCTTTCCCGTTCAAAATATTCTAATAAAGTTGCGATTAGTTTTTTACGGTTATTATCTTGACACTTCGCTCTCAAAGAGGTTCTAAAAAGAACAATGTTCGATTGCAAGGGCTGTTAGTAAAAAATTTTAAGCTTAAAGTACCACAACACCATTTTTTTAAACCAAAAACTCGTAATACAAAACTAAAGTGTCAAAAAGAATGACAATATCAGGAAATAAATAAATAAATGTGGCAACGACATTTTTTACAGCAGAGTTACCACCTGAATCTCCAGCGAAAAATTTAAATTCCACTTAGTCAGCCCAGCGCCGAATATCTCCATGATTGGCAACAATGAATTTATTATTAATTATTATATCGATTACGTAACTAAAAGTTTAATTGGTATCGATATATATATATATATATATATATATATATATATATATATATATATATATATATATATATATATATATATATATATATATATATATATATATATATATATATATATATATATATATATATATATATATATATATATATATATATATATATATATATATATATATATATATATATATATATATATATATATATATATATATATATATATATATATATATATATATATATATATATATATATATATTTTAATAACAAAACGAAAAAATGTGTGAGCTAAAATAGCCCATAAATTGGAATTAAAATCTCAAGCGCAAAACCTGATATAATATTTTTTTATTTTCAATTTATTTATTGGTAACACCATCTACATATATTATATAGTTATGAAAATACGATGTCTGAATGGTTAGCAGTTGAAGCCATTGTAAGACAAAGAGACAAAGAAGACCAGGCTCACGCTATTGCGAAATTAAGTAGCGAGAGTATGTCTGGTGAACAAGTGCCTAATGAAATACAAAGAGACTTAAGTAATGAGGTAAATTATAACCTTTATTTTTCTATTACTGATTATTTTATAATGCGATATTCTCAGGTGTTTGAAGATATTGTAACAGATGATGAAGAGTCGGAATCAGAGGATGAGAAAGAAAGCAATCAAAGAAACAAAAAACCGAGGAAAACTAAACAAAATACCATTAAATATGACAGTGATACCGAAGATGGTGAGAAACAAGAACCAGTTGATCAAAGCAACGAAGAATTAAACAACGGTCATTCAGCAGAAAAATGTGATGTACAAGATAATGAGAATGAAAACATTGATGGAACAGTAAATAACTGTCTAGATGGCGAAAATCTAACTTGCGAACTTCAAATTCATGGTAAATGTCAAAGTACATTCAGATGCAAAAAAACGCAACTGAAACATTTTACGCCAAATTTAAATTTTATATTTTTATACTTTTAGTCCAATTTTCATGATTTTTTTTGGCAAACTGTATATGAATATATCAACTTTAATTCGTAAATTCAGGCTTTTTATAAACTATAGTATTGGGCTTTATTATACAGGGTTTATCGAATGGTTGCTTTTTCTCTAACTTTAAAACACCCCGTGCAATCATTTCGTCAGCAAATTTTCCCAAAAAGTTGTTTTTCCGACAGAACCATGTCTCTTGAGCATTTTGTTTTTTGGATCATGTCAATACATGCCCTGGTTAATTGTGAAGAGCGAAATGAACTTGCCACCAACAATTTGCAATTTTTCAATTATCATTACTCTTTGGTGTTATTTTTCAATATGACTAGGTGGATTAGGTAACTATTGTCGTAATGCTATATTACGCTGCATTGGATACATTATACTAAATTAAAGAAAAAAATTAAAATGTAACAAAGATTAATAACGATAACAGACCTAAAGATATTAAAGAAAATATCTGTAATAATCCAGTATACAAACAAAAAAAAAACCTCTAAAATACTTTGTATTGTCTCCCTTGGCTGCTATGTCTCCCTTGGCTCCCTGAGACGTTCATGAGGCTGCATATATCATACTGCGTTATGTTTTCCCGTTTTTCTTTAAGGACCAAGCCAAGTTCGTTTAATGAAGCTGGTGCCTCTAACCTAACCAAGCATTTTCCAAACTATTCTATAGGGTTCAGATCTGTTGAATATGCTGAGCAGTTCATAGCAGTATTTAGTCCATAATAATCACCAAAGCTACCTCATCATATTAAAAAATTGCAAATTGTTGGTGGCAAGCTCATTTCGCTCTTAAAAATTATCAAAAGCCAGGGTTCGAAAAACTACATGTTACTTTTAAAAACTACATAAACTAGATTACATGTAGTTAATGTAGTTTATGTAGAGGGTGTAATTTACGTAACCTATGTATGTAACTTTCAAATATCAAAGATTTGCGGTGAGGTTATAATAAGTTGAATCTTTAGAAAACGCATATTCCCACTTGCACCGTTTGTATAAACTTTGTTTAAAGACTAAACAGTGATTAACTATAATCTTTGACTATAATAAAATATTATACAGTTAATCACTGTTTAGCCTTTAAACAAAGTTTATACAAACGGTGCAAGTGGGCAATAATGTATTTAAGAAAACAGAAGAAATATAGCTTTAAATATATTCATATCATATTATTTAGGCCACCTCATACAAAGGAAAATTATTCATAATATAAATACATAGTTTATTAACGTAGTTTTCATGTAGTTAATGAACGGGAAGATACGTAGTTTTTAAAGAAAAACTACACGTAGTTAATCAGGTAAATTACGTCTTAATTAACTACTTCCGATCCAAAAAACAAAATTCTAAGGAGACATGGTTCTGACCGAAAAATAATCTTTTAGGAAAATTTGCTCACGAAATTCTTGCACAGGGTGTTTTAAAGTTAGGATAACAAACAACCCTTCGATTAACAAAAAATTCATGAAAATAAGGCTAAAGATAAAAAAATATAATACTTACAATTTGACAAAAAATGTTTCCGTTGCTTTTTTCTTCTGTGTGTATAAACCAGAGAGAATGAAGGATAACAATAATATTATTTAATATAGTAAAGAAAATATTTAAAAATTATTATTGGAAGAATTAATTAATTGTTGAATATCCCCATTTAGACTAATGCCACAGCTAATGCTTTGTATATCTATAAAACTTTATTTACAGGCAGTATTGATGTAGAGATAGATAATAGAGAAGAATTGAAAGACTTTATACACAACGTTATTGTCACCAATGCCTCTGTAGATATAAGTAATTTAGAAAACGAGTGTCCTATACGAAATCATTTAGATGCAGTGACTGAAGAAAACAACTCTTCTTTGGACACCTGCATTGAAACGCATGGTTTAGCCAGCCCGGCAAGGTCAGCATGTGTTTCGCCGGCAAGTTCAAATGGTGGAGTTTATAGCGTAAGTATGTCGCAATACGAATCATCAGATCAGCACCATAACTCGTAGTAGTCCAAACTTAACTGGCAGTCCAAAAATTTAAAATTTGAATATTTTTACATAATATCATTCATAATATGAAGTTATCGAGGAAGTTATTTTAAATAATTTTAGAACTAACTTATATTAAGTAAATTCTAATTGATTAAAAATTGAAAAAAAGTGGGAACTTTTTATAAGCTGTGAAACCACAACTTTATGCGTAATTAATTTATGTGCTATCAAATATATTTATAATATAAGCAGACAGTAATATCGACTGACTAGTGAGAAAGAAAATCTAGGAACTAGTGGGGTTGCAGTCGGAAGGGTTTGAAATAGAATTAATACACTTTGTTAATTGTCAAGCTTTTGAATTCAAGTTTTCGAGTTTATTTATTCCTTCCTCAGGACATCAACGTGGTACAAGAGACCTTCATAAAAAACTACATAAAAAAATTGGCTTGAGGGATGCATTGAAAACTCCACCGTAAAGCATCGCTGACCAGTAAACCACAAAAAGGGGGCTATATTGGGGCGTTTAAGCCGCCTGATTATTATTTAAAACATTTTAATAATTGAGACAAAATACACAAAATTATTTTCAAAAAAAAGACAAAGATTTTTTCTTAAATTTTACTAAATCTTTACCACTGAACAAATTAGACGAAAAATAAAACTGAACTACAATATTCAATTTGTCGGATTGTTCAAATGAATGTAAAAAGTTAAATTTTTATATTAATTTCAAAGAAAGTAACAATTTCTGACAGTTAAACTTCCAGTTTAATTAGTATATTAAACTACTCATTAATATATCTTCATTTGTAAATAAATAAAAAAATACCATATAATCTAGCATAATATAACGTTATATGATCTACATTTCTCTACTGGACAAATTAATTATGACACTTTTACAAACATTAAAAGTATAGAGAATTGTTGAATCGTAATTAGATACTCCAAAAAATTCTATATGGGTTTTTCGCCACTGGAAGGAAATCTACAAAATAAAATAGTTATTTTATGTAAACACTTCTGAGTTAATCCCAAACGGAAACTACTTGTCAGAAGTTAGGTTTAAAGATATACAAATTTGCCTAACGAACAAAAAAATGCTTAACGTTTCGGAAAGTTTATCTCTTTCCGTCGTCGGAAGCCAAAAATTACAAAGAATAAAGAAAAAAAACTATTTAAAAATATTTAAATTCAACTATTCGAGAACACTTTTAGTTTTTTTTAAACAGATACATCTACAAAAACCGTTGACGTTCTGTTAAAATGATATTATAATGTAAAACCTAACTTCTGACAAGTAGTTTCCGTTTGGGATTAACGCAGAAGTGTTTACATAAAATAACTATTTTATTTTGTAGATTTTCTTGCAGTGGCGAAAAACCTATATAGGATTTTTTGGAGAGATGAATCTGCCACATAGGTATAGACATTTTTTAAAATTTTTGTAATTAGACATTTGAACTTTGTAGCAAGAACTGCTAAAAACCTTTGGACTGAACTTACATAGAATAGAAAAAGATGTACAAAGATGCGATCGAAACTACTGGTATTTTGCTGGCGAGAATTTAGACAAACTAAGGAATGTTATGTGCACGTAAGTTTATAATTATTCGTATTTACTGTTACTCTATTTTTCGGGGACAGTTTTAACATTTGATATAAACATAAAATTGGTTATGATCAGATGTCACTGTCATTCTCATTACTTAGTGTAGAATGTAGAATGAGTAAGAGGGGGGGGGGGTTAATCACTGCGACCTTAAAGATCTATTGTGTGTGCCCCCCTTCCTTGAGTCATCACACAATCTATAACCCATCATACCCCTGTTGTAGAGGGGACAGGGTATTTCCCATCCTCCTCTGACAACAGTTCTTCCTCCGAGGGTACACACCCTTCCACGGTTGGAGTTTGACCCTCCATGCCGCCCTTCACAGTCGAGGAGCTTGCCTCCGGCTGAGGAACCCGTGAGGTGGAGGCTGGAGGATTTGTCTCCATTTTCTCCACCTCTTAAACTTGGTCTCTCCTTAGACCTGATACCGGTGTTGTCCGGTAATCAATAACAGAGGATATGTCCCACTTTCTCTATTGCCTCCTTGGATTTAAGGTCAATTCCTACTGTAAGGACCATTATTTAGTGACAAATATCACGAATTTGTCAAATAATAAATTATTTCTATACTTATTCTAATTATTTCTTTGGGCAATTGCATATTATCGCTATGCTATAATTTTAAATTTAAATTCTCTACTGAGTTTTAAACATATACAGATTTCGTCACTGTTAAAGCATGGTCTGGATTTTAAAGTGTAAGACAGTGATAGAGACAGCTTAATGGAAAACTAAACGTATTAAAAAGAGAGAGTTGGGTTGATACGTTTCTTTTATGCGGTATTGCCGGATTTTGTATTAAAATTTCAAACCGCCGCGCCGTTACGAAAAAAATTGCATCTAGGGCTGGATCTTTATCTTATCACAAGTAGTTATTCATTTTACTACAGTAATATATACTTATTAAGTCTCGGTCTTAAAACTATTTTGTATCGTTGACGAAACTATTTCTTTAATCTGAACAAACCAATAAATATTTATTTTGGTGGTATTTGTAAAAATTGCCTGAAGATATTTTATTCCAAGTTTTAAAGCAACAGAATTGATCATAATTAAATAGCTTAGATTTATATTATTTTGGTTTATTATGGTATTTCACGTACGAACAGACAACACTGTATGTCGCTTTTTATTATGTCTCTGGCTGACAGCTGCTCGTATATATTTATATTTGTCTTATACAGTAAAATACAGACCACGGAAATATCATGACAAGAGCATATGTAGACATATAAATTACTAGTGAGGAAGGAATTTTTAAGGAAATAAATAATTGTGAAAGCTACTATATAAAAAAAATAATAAATATGTAGCTTTTAATATACCTACTTATTTTTTATTAATAATCTATAGTTATTTTTATTCTAATCAGTATTATTTTTTAAAGAGATATCAAACGAGTCAAATAAATAATAACTAATGTTTACAGTTTTAAGATTCATATTTTATAGTATATATTATATATAGTTTATCTTCTGATTTAATAATTATATTTAATTTTATTTTATTATTGCAGTTATGTTTGGGAACATTTAGATATTGGTTATATGCAGGGAATGTGTGACCTTGTAGCCCCTCTTCTTGTAACATTTGACGACGAATCATTGACATATGCTTGCTTTTGTCATCTAATGGAAAGAATGATTGAAAATTTTCCAAATGGCAACGCGATGGATTGTCATTTCGCCAACATGAGAAGCTTAATTCAAATTTTAGATGCTGAGATGTACGAACAAATGCATGCTCATGGAGATTATACGCACTTTTATTTTTGCTATAGATGGTTTTTGCTTGATTTTAAAAGGGAATTGGTAAGAGCATTATAATAATTAAAAATCAATGACTAAAGAATATAAGGACATGTAACGCCCATATACGGACTGCAGCAGAATTTGTGACCTTGGAGGCCATTCTTTTAATGGCAAACAATGAGTCATCATTTGGTCACCAGCGACAATTTTAGCGATTTTTAATAGTTTGTGTATAGTAAACTTTGTATAAACTTTATTACAATGTTGATTAGTTGTTCAGCTTTCAAGTGTAAAAGCAGCAGCGATAAGAAAGAGCCAGGAGTTACGTTTCATAGGTACATAAACAGTCCACTCCAACTTTTTAGCGTTTTCTTATTGAATTCGATAATTATTCTTCAATTTCAATTAACATCTATATGTACTTGATATGTGCTATACGTCGATACTAGTTTTGTACCTTTTGTTAACATTTTAATACGTTTTTTTCGTAAATAATTAGTATGATACACCATAGGCGTAGTCAAAACAATTATTAAAAAATGTAAATATTGTTTCAAACAGCTAGGTTAAGAAAAATATGTGCCACGGCACTGTTTGGTGACATCGGCACAATTTGCTCTCGGGTGTTATTTGTCCTTGGATTCTTTAGTCATTGTTTAAAATATTATTTTAATATTAAATTTTTACATTAGGTTTATCCCGATGTTTTTACAACGTGGGAGGTTATTTGGGCGGCACAGCAAGTGGCATCAAGCCATTTTGTGTTGTTTTTAGCGTTAGCGCTATTAGAAACATACAGAGACATCATATTATCAAATGGAATGGATTTTACAGATATCATTAAATTCTTTAACGGTAAGTCAAAATGCATTTAAGTCTTTTTTATTCTTCTAGTGTTTAGTTCAAAAGTCATCAACTATTGAAGATTCTAACTATAAACATTTTATTCCTATATATTTCACTTGTTTTTATTCAATAAAATTTTAATAAATATGATTAGGTAGAATTGTAATTAAAGAAAAAAGAAAATTAATATAAGTAAACTAATTAAAATTGACCATAAATATACATATTTCTAATAAAAAAAGCTAATGTAATTGAATAACAAAAATACATAGACGTTACTGAAATAACTGAGTAAAATCTAATATTTCATATTTTTTTCCGCGTAGTAATAAAAATAAATAAAATAAAATTAGTTAACATAAATTTCATAACTGGATTGGGTTAGCTAATATCTATATCGTAATATACAGGGTGGTCCGAATTGTATTCCGGAAACTCCGGCAGCATATTCTGCAGATAAAAATAAATAAGAAAGTTCATATAAATGTATGTCCTAAAATGGCTTAGTTTCGGAGATACGGGGTGTAGAAGTTTCATTTTTATTTCGATTTTTTTCAAATAATTTCTTAAGTAAAGTCAATATTTGGATGAAAATTGGTGCCTGGGAGTTTTTTGGCATGGGAAATTTGATTTTGTGTCAATATGACTCCTACTTATAGAGGGCGCCACCTACATATTTTTAACTGGTTGCGAAGAGTAATAACTTTTTGTCCGTACCTGTATAAAACTACTGAGTAAAAAAATATACATTTACCAAGTTTTTTACGTAAAAAATTTCTCTGGGTAAAAATCGCTACGAGTAATGGTTCTCGAGATATTTGGAATCGAAATTATCAATACCTATCATAATTGACATAAATTAAACATATGTTGACTAAATAGTTATTAGACTGAAATCATAAATTTAAAATGTTTTTGTTTCAAAAGTTCAATAGAAACTGTTTTATCATCATTTTTTCGTAGAAAAGTTAATGATTAATTTAAAAAAATAAAATTTCCCAAATTTATTATTTCAGTCAAGTAACTATCTACTCAACGTGTTTGTTTTTTGTCAATAATGACATGTATTGATTATGTTCGTTCCAAATATCTTGAGAACAGTTGCTCGTAGCGATTTTTACCAAGAGACATTTTTACGCAAAAAGTCATGGAAATGTATATTTTTTCACTCTATAGTTTTATACAGATACGGACGAAAAGTTATTACACTTCAAAACAGTTTAAACACATGTAGGTGACGCCCTCTACAAGTAGTATCATATTGACATCAAAATCAAATTTCCCATGCCAAAAAACTCCCAGGCACCAATTTTCATCCAAATATTGACGTTACTTAAGAAATTATTTGAAAAAAATCGAAATAAAAATGAAACTTTTACGCCCTGTATCTCCGAAACTAAGCATTTTAGGACATAAATTTATACGAACTTTTTTACTTATTTTTATCTGCAAGAGGGGCTGCCGAAGTTTCCGCAATACAGTTCGGACCACCCTGTATAGTATGTATATCACAGATTATGTTACTTGTGATGTGTACATATGTATAATAAATTATTAGTTGTTTAAATATTGTTCATGTTTTTGGTCTGAAAACGATAGCACGGTGCACAAGAAATTATATTTTTGCAATATTTCCTAAGATTCACAATAACCTCACTGTAATGTTAAGTTTCGACAGTAAAGTCTCTTTTCCACTGTGCATAAAACCAATTTTAAAATAAGGAAAATAAAATTTAAAATAAAAACAGCAAAGCGCAACAAACTAACATAAATTTAAATTTGTGAACAAAAAATCTAACCAAACTGTCCAAAAATGTGCTTTAAAAACATTTGTCTTTTCTTAGTGAATATAAAAATATTATTGATTCCTCTGTTAGTCTTTTTAGTCATTATAAATAGTAAATAACAATTTAACGTTATAGAAATAAACCCACAACTACAAATAAGGTCATTCTCACAAAATCAGTTTTATATGTATGTCGAGGGGTGTCTCACTTGGGTAAAAAATGTATTGCCAAAATATAATTTTACTGCCAAGCGACTGCCACCGACTGCGAAAAAGACTGCCTATGTCTGCCATATCATTGTAGTCGACTATCGTAAGACTAATGGCAACAAGTGCCAGCGACTGCCAAGAAAATATACGTGTAATTCCAAGAGTGAGATACCCCTCGATGTATATTTGTCCACGTAAAATATTTTCTAGTTAAGAAAATATACAGTGTCTTAGAAATAAGTGCAAGTATTTTAAGAGGTATTATATTTCGACCCCAGAAACACGTCTATGAGTTTTTTTAAGAATATTTGAAAATGTTATATTTTTATTGACATTTTCCCGGAATTTTTAAAAACTTTTTAGTGCCACTTGTTTCTTCACCTGAAATTTCTTTACAGTATATCTAAACCTTGCAGTGTTGCCACCTCCTACATTATCCATATTCAGCATATTTGTATGCACTGTAATTTTAAATTCCTACACAAATTATATTAATATTTTAATCTTATTTTTTGTTTTTACTCTTGGCTTTAGGCCGTTGGGGTTGCAAAGATGTTTCTAGATTTTGTTCATTATTTTATTTTATGACAACGTTTCGACAGTATATGTCTTTTTCAAGCCTCTTGAACGTAGATTCCTACAGAGTTAAAATTTGTTAAAACTGGACAAACACAATAACACATATTAACTATTATTTTAATTGTTTTTGGACATCACACTTTAGTATAGAGCACGTATGTATTTCCTAGCAGATCGCTCTGTATAAAATACATTTATCATTTCAATACCCGATGTCTACCTTTTAATCTTATTAGAGTCTATTAATAATAATTCTAGAAAAAACGCATTAATTGTTTTTACGCATACAACATTATTACAGTTATTTTCGGCATATACAGGGTCCGGCAATAGTGCGTCGGGCATCTGTAGCTCCTAGAATAAAAAACTTGAGAATTTTGTTTAAGTGCGAACCTAAAGTATGTGCCAGGATGTATTTCAAGAAAATATTTTAACTTCTATAGGGTGGCTCAAAAAAGTGTGAGTGGACCTTGATGATTTTTTTAAATGGAATACCCTGTATATTATTGCATTTTTGGCTTCCTTTCAGATCACTTTACATAACCCTAAGATATGAATAAATATATTTTGATAGTTTCAGAGATATTAAAAAATAAATAAAAAATATGTATTTTTCAGCCCTTCTTAAAAAAAATATTAAAAATACAAGAACTGTCCTGAAATCAAAACTATATTAGGTATTTACTTTAGATGGTCTGTACTTACTTTGCTATAAATATGAAAATCGTAAATTATACAGAATGTTCAAAATTCTGCGCCAAACTTTCTAAAATATAAAATAATATTTCCTCGTTTTTTTAAATAGAACACCCTGTATATTATTTTTTCAATAGACGGAGAATTAAAAAATGAACATTTTTTGTATTTAGAATATTTCAAAATTTTTAACGGTTTCGCAGATATTTGCGGTTTTATATTTCATATGGCATTTTCCACAGTAAATTTTTATCAAAGCTACCTATTGATTTTTCTCTCGTATTTTACCATTGAAAGCGCCATGATAATACTGCGCGTATCTGCGAAACCGGTCATGAAATATCATCTAAAAATATTTTGCTCTCCATCTAACAAAAAATAATATACAGGGTGTTCCATTAAAAAAGAAAATTATTTTATATTTAGAAAGTTTGGCATAAAACGAACATCCTGTATGATATACGATGCATATTACAACAGTAAAACAGACTATCTAAAGTAAATACCTAATATAGTTTTGATTTCAGAACAGTTCTTGTATTTTTAATAATTTTTTTAAGAAGGGCTGAAAAATACATATTTTTTATTTATTTTTTAATATCTCTGAAACTATCGAAATATATTTATTCATATCTTAGGGTTATGTAAAGTGATCTGAAAGGAAGCTAAAAATGCAATTATATACAGGGTGTTCCATTTAAAAAAAATCATCCAGGTCCACTCACACTTTTTTGAGCCACCCTATAAAAGTTAAACTATTTTCCTGAAATGCATCCTGTACATACTTTAGGTTTGCACACAAAACAATATTCTCAAGTTTTTTATTCTAGGAGCTACAGATGCCTGACGCACTATTGCCGGACCCTGTATACTGAAAAAATTAATCTTAACATTGCCATAGTACAAAGTAATTTCAATAAAAAACAGTCTTTTAAGTATTCAAAGTGGTGTGAATACGGTGTTTGAATCGCCAGCGCAGAGATTCTTAAATTGCCAATATATAATTCTTAAATTGCCAATAATTCAAAGTAGGTCAGTCGGTACGTCGTTTTAAATAGGCCTAGGTGGAAATAATTAGGGGCAAGCTGAATTATTTTTATTTTCTTATTTTGATGTGTTGAATGATATATTCAATTTGCACAATCTGTCGACCCCGGATTTGGCCGCCATTTTGAAAAAGTCGATATTAAAACTACATTTTTATGGATTTTTTAAAATATCTCGGTCTGGGTGCATTGTAGAAAAAAAATGCAGGTAACCAAAAATAAAGCAAATTAAATTCTGTACAAAAAAGGTTCTATTAATTATTCTCGTAAACTTATCAGCTCTAAAGTTAGCAAAGCAAGTAAATTAAAAAAAGCTAAAGCAATTAACATCTAAGGCTTATTAGCCGACTATACTAACAAGTATGGTAGGCTATTAAGAACGGCAAAAATTTTTTTTTTAATTTCACTCAAAATCAGTTATTTGGGTCATAAATGACCTAAATACAACATATTTTCATGGTGTCTGTCTGTCCGTCTGTCCGTCTGTAACACGATAACTCAAAAACCGCTTAACCGATTTTAACCAAATTTGTCACAAAAATACTGTAGCACCCGAGAATCTGGCCATTAGATTTTGGTGGGGGTGGGGGGTTGGTAAGGGGATATGAGAGGGTGTTAAAATTTTTAAAAAATCGTAACTCCAAAATTACAGTAGCTAGCGAAAGGCGGTTTTCAATTTAAGATTAGGAATAATATTTGCAACAAAATTTGTAATAACATCAAAATCAGTCAAAGTCGCAGTTTTTCAGATATTCCGTGTTTCCGTAGTCCGTTTTTGAGAAAATCCTTGTGGGGAACGCCAAAATCCCATCGGACGCGACCCCAGGTGGCGGATAGGGGAAATAACCGCGGACCAAAATTGGAAAAATTCCTTTACTTTGAAACTAAAAGAACTGCCTACCAACTTTTTATTAACATATTTTAGTATGGGCGGCTATACGTGCCTCCCGGTGCCAGTTTTTTTTAAATACATCTTAATGTGCTCTAACGTTAAATTTGATACTTGATCTATTCGACAACAGCGCGAGACGGCAGCCGGGGTGCGGTCAATTACGCAAACCAGTTCGGGCGACTTTTAGTTTTAGTGTTTCATTATATCATTATACTATTCCTAAGTAAGACACAAAGATTACGATTAGGCCTATAGGGGAAACCACTTAAAAAAAAGTGCACCGAGTACTCTACCACCAGGTAGTGTGGAAACGAGCAGAAGAAAAACATAAATTTGTACTGGCAAATTATTCAAATTTACATAGAATCAGTTTCTCATATTAAATGAACTACTAGAAAATATATGCTTTGTATTTAAGCGCTTGTATCTCGTTAACCTGTGCATGCACGAAATCGGTGAAAAGGATATTTTTTGTAGAGAATTTAAATAGATTTCTTTTCGGTCTCTTCCAAATTTTCTGTGCATTGCACCCACACCGAGTTATTTAAAAAAAAAAACATAAAAGTGTCATAATTTGACAGGATTTTCCAATATGGCGGCCAAATCCGGGATCGATAGACCGTGCAAATTTAGTAGAGTATTCAACAAAGCAAAACAAAGAGAATACGTGTTATTGCAGCTTGCCCCTAATTATTTCCACCTAAAACCACTTGTCGACTGATCTAAAGTTAAATAACTCGGATTTAATTTATTTCAAAAACGGTAAAGGGAAAATATGTTTATTTTGACCAGATCTACCACCCCTTAAAATAATTGCACTTATTTCTGGAACACCCATTATAAATCAATTTTATATCTTTTCAGAAATGGCTGAAAGGCACGACGCAGCAGCTGTTCTAAAATTAGCAAGGGAGTTGGTTTTACAACTTCAGCTTCTTATAGAAAACAAATAAGTGATGCAATGAATCTTGTGATGATCAGAAAATCTAAAACAGTATTCCCAGCATCAAACAGAACGCACATCTTTAGGGAAGTAGGAAGTTTTTGCGAAAGTAAAAAAAAGTAGAAATATTTTCTTAAAGGACATACTTTAACAAAGGCATGTCATTAAAGTAGGTGATGAATTTTGTATATATGTCAGAAGCTAATTAACTAAATAAACTTAAACATGTTCTTCCTGTATAGATCTTATAAATCAAATTGAGGTCACCTGTAATTTATACTAAAATGTATTGTAACACTATCAAAATATATTATATTATTGTAAAAACACAATCAAATATATGCAAAAATATTATTTACAGTGTAAATGAGAAGAACCAGATTTTTGTGATACTATAGTACCATATTTAGTATAAGATAAAATTAATAATATTGAAAATTATTTTAAAGAAAGTTTTTATCCCTTACTTTTAAATACATACATATATTTTATTATAAAAAGAACTAACTAATTTATCAGAGTAAAATAATACCCGAGATAATACCTATTAAATCATATAGTACGAATTATTATAAATTAATATAATTTATTTTTGTGTAAATAAATATTAAAAAAATTTTATTGATAAATTATAAGTAATTAGAAATATCTTAAGGTGCCAAAGATTACCATACAACGTAAAGATGATTCTGTATATCAAGTAATATTTATGAGTTATTTAAATGTGCTTAAACTATTTTTATAATATAGTCCTACTATTTTATTATATTCTTATAGTTGTCTTACAAATATTATATGGTTAAATGTATCCCTAATACTTTATATTTTAACGCACAGATGTATCAGAACCTTATTTAATTTTATAATAAAATATTTCTAATGTTATATAGCTGAAAATTTTAAATTTATATTCATATATGTGTTAATGTATATTTGCAAATTTTATCTCTGAATTATATCATTCCTGTAACCTTATAAATATCATAATTCATAAATATTTTTAGGCAAATATTTTAAAACTAGAACGTTTATTATAATATATTCCTTCATATTGGAATGAATAAAAGTACCATATAATAAAAAACACCCCTATATGTAACTTATTCAGAGTTGAAAGAACAAAAAAATAATATTTAAAAAGAAAAATAATTTTGTCAATCATTCAGACATATGTATATTAAGTTAAAAGTACAAGCTTGGAAATCTTATTGTTTTTTGTGTATTAATTATTATTAACTCTAAGTATTACTTTCGATTTTGAATGAATGATATAGATGGGTCGGTTGGACAAATATTTTCATCAATTCTTAAGTCACTTTGATGCCGTTTTAATTTCCATTATAACCACTACAGGGAAACTATTATGAAAGTAGATGTTTGTAGGTTGGATCAATTTACGTCAAATATTTCTGACATTAAATACCTTATGATCGAAAAAACGCCTCCCAGTTGGTTTGAAAATGACGATCGATGACATCCCCCATATAATTTTACATATAAAAGACAGCGATCTTCATTTCATATAGCCATCGCTGACGTCGTTTTTTTCGATCATATTGGTTTGAAAATTGCAAATATTATCAGGGGTGGTATATTTCGACCCCAGGAACACGTCTATATGAGTTTTTTCGCAAAAAAAGATGTTGAAAATCGTGCATTTTCTTTTAAATTTCCCTGTATATTTTTCGAAAACTTTTTAGCACTACCTGTTCACCGCAAATTTTCCCACGGTATAATTTCTTAATCTCTGATATTACCACATTTACAGCTTTTTACTCTCTGGTGACTCTATGGTTACGGCACTAAAAGGGATGCAAATACAGAAAAAACCGGCGACTCTCAAAATTAAAAAAAAACATTTTTTTTAAATTTTCAAACTTAAATAACTCGGTTATTTTGGACTTATTTGAAAAATGGTAAAGAGAAAATATATTTTTTTTTGTCGAGATATACCAGTCCTGAAAATATTTGCACTTATTTAAAACTCACACTGTATATCTAAAATTCTGCACATTAAACTGAAAGATATTTTTGTTATGAAAATTAAACTCCACTACCATCTTCCACTACAGTAAAGAGAATTTTATAAATTTGTCACTGAATTTATATTAGATAGTTGAGGTATTGTGTAGAGATAATATTCGTTTTTAAAGTAGAACCAGGCATCACAATGGTAAAGTATTCATTTTAATTTGTAATTAGTAATTTTATAGATACTGGTGAAGGGTTATAATCGAAATGGCCAAAATAAATTCAATCGAAAATGTATCCAACCAAGTAATATTATATAGACAGTTAAAGCACGGTCGAAGACGTAGACGTAAACGTATCGTTTGACATGTACGCTTGCGCAGTGAGAAATTCACTTGCGTTTGCGGATACATGATACGTATCATTTTTTACGCCTTTACGTACGTACAAAACTCAAACGTATCGAACCGAAAGGGTTTCGATTTCACCCGATTAATGCCGAACGTACAAATTCAAATCGACAAACATCTGTCTTAATAAAGGTCTCTGACCTTGGCTAGAAGGTCTCTCACATGGCTCTCTAACCTTGGCTAGTTATTAGTGAAACAGAAATGTGAAACAGGAAAGGGGCCTACTTTAATAATATAATAAGTTAATCATTTGTGTTAAAACGAGATAAAGAAAGCATTGAAGAATTCAAAAAATGGAAAAGCTGTGGGGCCGGGAGACATTTTCATTGAGCTAATAAAGCAGGGACCCGATATATTATTGGAAATACTAGCTGATATCTTCAACAGATGCCTGATAAAAAACGAAAACATTCCTGAAGACATTGGCGTACATCAGCTCTAAAGCACCTGGCGTACATCAGCTCTATCTTCAAGAAAGGAGACAAAAAAAGATGGAGCAACTACAGAGGCATTTGTTTGACAAGCTCAATGGGAAGGTTGTATAGCAGGATATTAAAAGAGAGAGTAGAAGAGAGCTTTGAAGAAATAGAAGAACAAGGTGGTTTCCGCGCTGGGCGTTCTTGTATAGACAACATATTTGTGTTACAACAAATAATTGAAAAAAGGAGAGCTCGAAATTTGGACACGCATCTGGTATTTATAGATTTAGAGAAAGCCTATGACACGGTGCCTTTGAAGAAATTATTTGAAATCTTGGTTGAGGCAAATGTGAGTAAAACATATATTAATGCAATCTGGAATATGTACAAAAATTCAAAAAGTATGATCAGACAGGGGAAGTTCCTATCGGAATCCTTCCTGACATCTAAAGGACTTAGACAGGGGTGCAGTTTATCACCTACCTTATTTAAAATATATATACAGGAGGCATTGAAAAACTGGAGAAGGAAGAGTAGAGCTATGGGAATAGAGATTGACAACCACTGTCTATCGACCTTGTTCTTTGCAGACGACCAAGTTATTGTTGCAGGTTGTGAGGAGGATGCCGACTATATGTACTAATACGACAGATGGGGACTCAATATCAACCTCACAAAAACCGAATACCTGAAAGTAGGAGAAGAACAAACTGAAGATCCTGAACTACACATACATGAAATTAAAAGATGTAGCGAATATAAATATTTAGGAAGTATTATATCTGAAGAAGGGAACTCCAAGAAAGATATACATAGTAGAGTTCAACAAGGTAAGAAAGTAATCGGTCTTTTAAACCCTCTCTTGTGGTCAAATAAAACATCCATCCAAACAAAGCTAAGGATTTACAAAGCAATCGTAGATCCAATTTTAACATACGGTGCCGAATGCTGGCAATTTACAGCAAAAGAAAGAAGGATGGTCGAGCCAGTGGAGATGGAGTTTCTCAGAAGACCATGTCGCATATCAAGGATGGAACACATTAGAAATGAGATCAGGCAAAGAACAAGGCGAATATATACCAGCACCGACAACATCGAATTGAGACAGCTACTATGGTATGGGCACGTAAAAAGAATGGGAGGGGAAAGATGGCCAAAAAGGGCAATGGAGTATCGTCCCCAAAGCAGAAGGAAAAGAGGAAGACCTACAACTACGTGGTTAGATGGAGTAGACCAGTACATGAGAGACAGAGCTATTAACCAGGAAGAATGGCAAAATCGAGCAATATAGAGGTCGAAATGCGGGATGCGGCAGAAGCTGTAGGACCTCCGCTTTATATATATAATCATTTGTAAACATTTTAAGATTTTAAGGGTGGGTACTTCCAATAATATAATTCCCATTAATGTTTTTTTATCTTTCGATAAATACTTTTATAAAATTGATGTAGAATCGATGGATTAAAATATTAAAAAGTATCGGTTACGTTACGTAAATGATACCTCGCATGGCACAATACGTATACGTATCTCAGAGTACGTAACGGTAGAAACTTACGCTACGGATGTGGATGCGTTGGCGTCGTCGCGCAAACCAGAGTTAAAGCAAGTATCGGTTACGTTACGTAACGTAAAAATACTTGCTTTAACTCAGGTTTGCGCGACGACGCCGACGCATCCACATCCGTAGCGTAAGTTTCTACCGTTACGTACTCTGAGATACGTATACGTATTGTGCCATGCGAGGTGTCATGCTTTAACTGTCTATTCTTTGTGAGTTTATCATTAGATAATAATTTAGCATTGTAAAATATGGTAATAACATAGTTCAATCATAATGAAAGTTAACTAAAAAAACATTTAAAAAGACAAATGTCATGAGAAACGATTTGATATTTCAATTTATTTTTTACTTTGTAATGCTGCAAGAAAGTCAATTTATTTTAACATAGGTTGTGAATTATCACTGTCTCGAAAATGTTCCTCATTTTTTAAAAGTGTAAATTATTTCTAGTTTCGTGAAGCACGGTAAAATGTTACTATAAAATTTAATTCTTTAAAAACTAAATTATAGTGTTGTCTCTAAAGTCATATTTGGTATTTTGAAAATTGTTTTTAAATGTGATTTTCTAACTCGCATATCAACTTATTTGATTTTAGCAGTTTCGTTCCATGTACCGTACTATATTATAATAAACAAATAATGTGCAGTAAGTAGTTTTATTACTTTCCCTACATAAATTTTATCAAAAATACCCATAAAAAATGTCTATACCTATGTAGCGAATTCATCTCTCCAAAAATCATATATGGGTATTTCGTTACTGCAAGAAAATCTACAAAATAAAATAGTTATTTTTTATAAACACTTCTGCGTTAATCCCAAACGGAAACTACTTGTCAGAATTTAGGTTTACAAATTACAAATTTGCCTAACGAACAAAAAATGCTTAACGTTTCAGAAAGTTTATCCCTTTTCGTCGTCGGAATAAAAAAAATACAAATAATAAAGAATAAAACTATTTAAAATATTTAAATTCAACTATTCGAGAAGAGAGAGAGAGAGAGAGAGAGAGAGAGAGAGAGAGAGAGACAGATACGTCTTGGATACGTCTACAAAAACCGTTGACGTTCTGTTAAAATGACATCATATCAAGTTAAACTTCAAAATTAACAATTACTACCTGATAACAATTACTTAATAAGGTAAAACCAAAAAGCCCCAAACTTTTTGTATGATTTTTTTTTAATTTTTACGTATGTTATGTTTATTTATGGTATGTTCTTTAAAATCAAAGAAGCGATTGCCATACATTACTAACATCTACAGATGCATGAGCAATATATTTATTTTTATTAGATTGTATTAAAAAACCCTCTTTTATTTTTCTTTTAGAGGCTATCGCTTCTTTCATTATAATTTTGAAAATACCCATGCTTGCGGAGAAAAAGGACCCACATTACCGTAACAGTCACAAAAGAGAGGCATGTTATAATGTTTTGTTTGAAGAAATGCTGTATGGTCGAAAAAAAAAACAGTGTCAAACACCGCTACGGAATGACAATCGATGATAATTTTTGCGAGGCCAATCTTTAGACATATTTTCATGTTTTTCTTAATTTTCTCTAAAACGGTATGGAAATTTGGAACAGTATAAACGGGATTAACCATTTTAGAACAAGCAAAATTTTTTATAAAGAATGCATTTTTCTCAAAATGTCAACAATAAAAATGTTTTTCCTCTTGAAAAGACAATCCGGGGACATACTGTATATAGACAAAGGTTTGACGAATCAGAAGATTCAAAGCGAAGTCCATTCATTAAATTTACATGAGACAGTGATATTGTCTTGAGAAGTCAGTCTTTGCTGCATTTACTTCTTTTCTTCTTTTGTTTCTTATTCATTGTATTTCTGCACTGTTTTGCATTTTGAGAAAAATTTTTTGAAATTTTTTTTTGGTTAAAATGTACAGAAAATCTAGAATATATCTTTATAATATTACAAGTTAGGTCAAGGAATATTATAGTTAACACAAGTTAGGTGTAAAAATTTATTTGAATCATCCAGTATAATCAATAATATACAGGGTGGTACGAACTGTATTTCGGAAACTTCGGCAGCATATTCTGCAGATAAAAATAAGTAAAAAAGTTCGTATAAATGTATGTCCTAAAATGCTTAGTTTCGGAGATACAAGGTGTAGAAGTTTCATTTTTATTTCGATTTTTTCTAAATAATTTCTGAAGTATCGGCAAAATTTGGTTGAAAATTGGTGTCTGGGAGTTTTTTGACATGAAAAATTTGATTTTGATGTCGATATGACTCCTACTCGTAGAGGGCGCCATCTACATATTTTTTAACTGGTTTGAAGAGTAATAACGTTTCGTCCGTAACTACCTAGCGAAAAAAATACATCTCTGTGACTTTTTACGTAAAAAATATCTATATGTAAAAATCGCTACGAGCAACCATTTTCAAGATATCTAGAATGGAAATAGTCAATACATTATTGACGAAAAATAAACACGTTGAGTAGATAGTTATTTCAATGAAATAATAAATTTGGGAAATTTTAATTTTTTTGAAATTAATCATAAATTTTTCTACAAAAAATGATGATAAAACAGTTTCTGTTGAACTTTTGACAGGAAAACATTTCAAATTTATGATTTCAGTGTATTAACTATTTAGTAAACATGTTTAATTTATGTCAATGATGATGGAGGTATTGATAATTTCAATTCCAAATATCTCGAAAACCATTATTCACAGCGATTTTTACTAAGAGACCTTTTTCGCGTAAAAACGTCGTAAATGTATATTTTTGTACTCAGTAGTTTTATACAGGTACGGACGAAAAGTTATTACTCTTCAACCCAGTTAAAAAATATGTAGGTGGCGCCCTCTACTAGTAGGAGTCATATTGACATCAAAATCAAATATCTCATGTCAAAAAACTCCCAGACACCCATAGATAAATGCAACAAGTTTAGATTGGAAAGCCCGTATAAATTTTGGATCGCGAAATTATTTTGGGTCGCGACCGTTATACGCGATCTGACGCTGCTATAGCGGTCGCTAAGAGCAACGGCAAACAAAAACAGAAATAATTTTCTCCTGTCAAAGACAGAATCTTCAAAAATCATAATAATCCTTCAAAATCTAAACCGCTCTCATTAAAGAAATTCCGAAAAGTGTTTATAGCGTCCATTTTCAAAGTAATTATTGCTATCTTGTGAGTTTAATTCAAGTTTTATTTACTCCAACCGGTGATAATTGTGAAAAAGTGGCATTAAAAACTTAAAAAGCTGTGCTGTGAACTGCAAAAACCATCGTGGATCGTGGCATAACGTCGGTTTCCAATGTTTTATAGGTATTTCATACATGCGTCCTTACATAAAATAAAGTTTCTTGTATGCAACACACTGCATTTTATTTATAAAATTAAACGAAAATAATAATAAATTTGAATAAACAATATTTGGCGATATAATTCCGGAAAAAGCCGAACCGCTCCGAAATTTTCAAAAGTTTTGGGTCGCGACCGTTGCAAGAATAGCGCCAAGAAGTGTTTACATTGTCCTTATGGGCACTTTCCAATCTAAACTTGTTTCATTTATCTATGCAGACACCAATTTTCATCCAAATATGGACGTTACTTCAGAAATTATTTGGAAAAAATCGTAATAAAAATGAAACTTCTACACCCTGTATCTCCGAAACTAAGCATTTTAGGACATACATTTATACGAACTTTTTTACTTGTTTTTATCTGCAGAATATGCTGCCGAAGTACAGTTCGGACCACCCTGTATATTTATGAAATATATGCTATTTTTCCTTTCAAATTTTTTTGAATATGGAGCTTTCCTGAACAATACCTACCTTACATACGTAGATATATTAATGTCATAATTACCTATATACAATTTCACTAAATGACTTAGTGCTTGTCATAACGGGTACTTAAGTCACATTAGTGTGAAAATGAAACCGAGACACTATGTTCATATGGGAATGAAAAAAGCAGAAGAGGTGTCGAAAATATGGAAAGGTAAGTTTTTACGGCTAATATTTTAATTATTTAGTAAAAGTAGTAGGTATAGGGATATTTTTTGATTAATAAATCAGGAGGATAATAAGTCGCAGAAGGACGCAACTGACAAAAAGTTATAAATAAGTTCGAAAGGTAGTTCTTCATATTTTTGCTTATAAATTTAATATTTTGACTACTAAAGGAACTTCCTTTCTTTATGGTATGTTTCACAATTTTGATTCCAATTTTTAATTTTTATTTCAAACATTGGTGACGGTTTAATAAGACCCCCAAACGATAACTGATACACCCGATATTGTATAATTCCATAGTCTTTTTCTTTCGAAAATTAAATTAGATTTTTTAGTAACAACACGGCTATTATTACACCCAAAATAGCACATCGGTGACCTGGCATTCTATTTTTATAAATAATAAAAAGGAAAAAAAAATTTAATGTAATTAAACATAATTAAAAAAATAAATTAATTAAACATAAAACTTATTTTTACAATTCAATCAGATTTAAGTTTGATTTTCATGCATCCGTTGTCCGACGATACGATGATACGATATTAATTTTATTGGTTGAATTTAAAGACTTCGATTGGTTAACCGTTTCTAACCAATTGAAGTCTTTAAAGTCAACCAATAAAATTAATATCGGACCATCGTATCAACGGATAACGGACGCATGCAAATCAAGCTTTACCCTATTGCTCTAAAATCACAAAATAATAGATTTGAACAATAATAAAACGTTAGATTGTAAGAATCTTCAAATAAATAACTGTGACTGTCTAAAATCTTTAGCGTGAAATACAATTAGGTCCCTATATGACGTAGAAAAGCTGACAGTACAGAAAATAGGGATTGAACATTTCTTATCCCTATAATATCCTTGTCTGCGACTCTCCTTATTGTTTATCATTCATGTACATCTTATTACATTTCTGTTTCTTATACAGAGTGTCCCAATGTTCAGTGGAGATAGAACTACAGCGTATTTTTAGAATCAAAATACCGTATGATCCAAAAAAAATGGCGTCCAGTTGGCTGGGAAATAACGATCGATGACATTTCCCATATAAATTTACATATAAAATGACAGCGATCTTCATTTCATAGTCATCGCTGAGGCCGTTTTTTCTCGATCATACGGTAGGTTCATTAGGCACAATTTACCTATAGTTTATATTTTTATATTAAATAAACTTTTAGTCGCGTGATTAAGCTTGACAGGCACAGCGTTGACCACTTTTACTTTTTTTTGTTTTAACAAAAATAAATTAATTATATTTATATAAACAGTTATTATTTATATCAACAAAACTCCCATTCTTAACAGTACTTAAGGGACATAACTACCACTTTCCCGTTCAAAATATTCTAATAACGTTGCCATTCGTTTTTACGGCTATTAAGCTATCTTCGCACTAAAAGAGGTTCTAAAAAGAACAATGTTTGACTGCAACGTCTGCTAGAAAACATTTTTAAGCTTAAAAGTATCACAATACTATTTATTTAAACCAAAAACTCGTACTACAAAACTAAAGTGTCAAAACGAATGACAATGTCAGGCAATAAATGAATAAATGCTGTGGCAACTTGACATTTTTTGCAGCAGAGCTACCATCTGAATCCTCAGGGCGAAATTTAAATTCCAGTTAGCCCGGCGCTGAATATGTCCATGGTTGGCAACAATGAAAAATCGCGCCTTCGATTACGTAACTAAAAGGTTAAAATGATTCCAAAAGTGCTTCGTTTATCCGTTAACTTAAATAATTTAAATAATAAGAATAATAAAAAAATAAACACATTTTTTTAGATATTTTATGAACAGATATTACGATTTGCTGGTAGTTTTTACCCTTCCTGGACTTTTTCTTGATTTTTTTGAAAGACAAATGTTAAAAAGCACTTAGCAATACATAGGCACCTTAACTCTTATTCCAAACCGAAATAACGGCTTTTTTTTTAAAGTTTGACACCCTGTAACGGACAAACGAAGCGGTTTTGAATAGAGGTGAATTGCGTCCAATGAACTTATTTTAATTCCAAAAAAAAACAGTAGTTTTATATCCACGGAATATTGGGATACTCTGTATACTTACTGCATGAATTTAGTTTTCTTTATTTCTATAGCTGCTCATTTAACAGTATTTACCCTTATTCTGTTATCATCGGCAGCAGCAACAAAGTCAATGTTCGAAATTCTGGATATGTACGAATTTAACTGCATCATTTATGCCAAAATTCAGTTCCAAGGACCACATGCCATTGTTAATTCAAGTTATGGTATATTTGAGGATACGGGTGAGTATATGACAATAATGTTAATTATTTTTAATTATTGTACAGAGTGGCGCCCCTCATACGACGCGGAGGGTCCAAGCAGACAATAGTTTGTATTGATATTAAATTTTTTGAACATAATATGTAGATTAATTTAGATCATTTTTTTTAAATAGTGATAATTCCTGAGGTGTCCCTAAAAACAGTTACACATGAACGTTGTGTTTTTTCCTATATATACTAATTGATTTTCGGAAAAAAATAAAGGTGAGTTTTATTAAAGAAGTACATGTAATATGTAAGGTGTTTGACATATTTAACAATTTCTAAAAAAGAAGATCAATTTTTAAATTGCAATTAAAGCTACCTAAATTGGAATTTACCCGATATAGTGTAATATGTAGTTAAAATAACTTCTGTACTTTAAACCAAATTAAAACTTGGCCCAAAAAAGTTCTACAGGGTGAGCCAAAATTAATATTGAACATTGGTCACCTTTAAGAGCAAGTTACTCTTTTATTCTAAATAGAACATGCAGTATATTATTCAGTTATTCAATGGGCAATTGTTGTCTCTTTAAATACTATTAAGATTCTCTACCCCTCAAACAAAGATTTTCCTACTTAGACATTTTAATGATTTAGTGTCAGTAGATATTTATTATTTGATAAAATGTATTTGGCTGTGATATATGCTGACGTTACTTCACCATAGCTGTCATATTAGTTCAACCTTAACAACTAGTTATCATTTTGTGTCAGTTAAAACAAAAATAATTCTCAGAAATTTGCCGAAAATGGTAACTTTTCCTATATCAGAGAGAATTTATATGATATTAGTTGCTGACTGCAGTGTGCATTCACCATTTAATAGAATACTTAAATGCTCCTGGTTTATTTAGTCTGAACTTTTTTATGGGGATATATTTAAGACAGTGTTTACAAAACTCGACCAACTATTGTCGACAACATAAGAGAAATGATTGTGGCTACTTTTCGAAGTAGAATTCCACATATATGCCTTTTATCATAAAAAAATCTTTTGAAAAGAGAATCATTTTATGCAGTGAACAGGAAAGGTATTAGAACATTCTGAGTATTTTAAAAAATGTCTATACCTATGTGGCGGATTCATCTCTCCAAAAAAATCCTTTATGTGTATTTCGCCACTGCACTACAAGAAAATCTACAAAATAAAATAGTTATTTTTTGTAAACACTTTTGCGTTAAACCTAAACGGACGCTGCTTGTCAGAAGTTATGTTTACAGTAATACAAATTTACCTAACAAAGAAAAAAATGCTTAACGTTTCGGAAAGTTATCTCTTTCCGTCGTCGGAAGCAAAAAATATACAAAGAATAAAGAAAAATACTATTTAAAATATTTAAATTCAACTATTCGAAAACACTTTACTTTTTTAAACATTTTAAAAAAGAAAACGATAAAGGATTTTTTTGGAGATTTTGAGTATTTGATTTGATCTAGCTAATTTTTGTTACATAATTATATCCTTATATCTAGATTTAATTATGTAATAATTTTTAAATTGTTGTTCATCTCGAAATAATAATTTTGGCACTTAGAACATTAATTTACTTCAATTTATCATATTATGCCTCTTTAACAAAACTCATCTTTTTTTTTTTTTCTAGAATCCGAAAATAAATGAACAATACGGTGTTCCATTACAAAAATCCCAACTTTGAAACGTAACTTTTTGTGGGGACACTCTGCAGCACTTTATAAATTTTTATAAAATGTTTTCAATTAACTTACATATGCTTCCAAAAAAATTGAATTTCTATACATACTTACATTATTCCTCAATTGGTATTTACCCACTGTCCAATACTGATGTACAGGGTGGGCCAAATTCGACGCTTTTAAATGGAAACACCCTTTTCTATAGGAGATAGAGAAAAACTAATATCGGTGTCTGGAGCTCAATTTTTGTCAAAAACATGATGGCGAAAACCGCATATTCATATCTGTTACCGTTTCGGAGTTACAGGGTGTTTTTCAAAAATATGCATTTTTAACAAATCGCTGTAACTTTTTTGCTATGGAAAATTATGTATTTTTATGAAAACATTTCCAAAGCACCTTTTAACGTAGAATTTAATGGTATAAGTATAATTTTTTTAAAATTAATAATTTAAGAATTATCAACAAAAAAAAATGATTTTTTATATGGGACACCCTGTGTATTTTTAATTTATTGAAAATAATTTAAAATTACCTTTCCAAAAATATAGTATACTTGATATCTTGCTCGATTCCTCTTCGAGATATAGAGTATATAAAAATTCGCCCGCTTTAAATAAGTAGGCTTTGAACGGCACCGGCTGTAATGCAAAAAAATTCTAGCTGTGAGCATCAATTAAAACGAATATTAAATGAAATAATATTTGCTATGAGAGATGTAGAATTTTATAACCATTTAAAATATATTTAACCAACATCAACACATTTAATCTAATAACAATAAAAATAAATAGCAAACCAAGACATGAGATTTTGCTACAGGTGTTCGACATATAGACCGTCTTCTGTTATGGACAGATGGGGCAGTTTTTGAACATTTCTCGGGGAATTCATTAACTCAGTAGGGGTGAAAGATACCTTCTCATAACTGCTAAGTATTTCTAATTCTTGTCTAGATTTTTTTTAGTCTTAGATTAGAACCTTTATTCTTCCGCAAATATATCCATAGGATTAGATCCATGGGCACTAAGTCAGGCGGCGTCGACGGCCAACGGCTGGGATCTTGGTTAGCTATTCAATTATTCTTGAAATTGGCTGCAAAAATTTGCTGATAACTTCAGCGTTCAGAGGCGGTGCGTCGTCTTGCTGGAAAAATATGTTTTCGAGTTCCATTAAGGGCATATCATCAATAAGGGGTCAAAAGCCTACTAGTTAACAGTGGCAAACTTTTAAAAATTTTGTATTTCGAAGGGGATTATAACAAAATATCAAGTGTGCTATATTTTTGGAAAGGTAATTTTAAATTCTTTTCAGTTAATTAAAAATATAGAGGGTGTCCCAAATAAAATATCATTTTTTCTGTTGATAACTCTTAAATTATTAATTTTAAAAAAATTATACTTACATCATTAAATTTTACGTAAAAAGGTGCTTTGGAAATGTTTTCATAGATATACAAAATTTTCCATAGCAAAAAAGTTACACGGATTTGTCAAAAATGCACATTTTTGAAAAACATCCCGTAACACCGAAACGGTAACAGATATTGATGTGCGGTTTTTACCATCATGTTTTTGACGAAAATTGAGCTCCAGACACCGATATTAGTTTTCGTCTATCTCCTATAGAAAAGGGCGTTTCCATTTAAAAGCATCGAATTTGATCCACCCTGTACATAACGGTGTGTGTAAAAATTGCAGCACCCAGTATATACATACAGTAACTTTCATTGGTCGTAATTTGGTGGCGTTTTTATTTCAATCATACGGTAAAACAATTAAAAACAATATGGTGCAAAATGTACATTGAAATTGTTTCTTAGAGTTTTATTAGGTATATTTTTTGGTAGTTGTATTTATTTAAAAATATTATTTCTATTTGTCTTATTTAGCTTCCGATGAACCCAAATCTAACAGCACATCTTCCAAAACTCACGATCCAAATGAAACAGAACATTTGGGCCGGGAACTTACAGAATATAGTAAGTTCGACTAATAATTTATATTAATTTTATTTTATAATATGTTCTTAAATTTTAGAATGGGACAGAAACTACTCAATTTCATTCATTTCGAATGTAAATAATTCGGGTTTTCTAAATCTCAGGTAAGACAGAAGATGTCTGTCCAACGAGAAAATTCGTGACTGTGACAGCTATTGTTTGTAATTTTAATTCACAAGAGAATTGTACTTTTTTGTCAAACTTGTTCTTGTTCTTGCTGGACAGATTTCAGTTATTCATAAGTATTACAAATTAGAACTACTACAAGTGACTACTTTTTGCACATATACAGGGTGGTCCGAATTGTATTACGGAAACTTCGGCAACAATAAAATAAATAGCAAACCAAGACATTAGAATTATAAAAATAAGTAAAAAAGTTCATATAAATGTATGTCCTAAAATGCTGAGTTTCGGAGATACAGGGTGTAAAAGTTTCATTTTTATTTCGATTTTTTACAAATAATTTCTGAAGTAATGTCAATATTTGGATGAAAATTGGTGTCTGGGAGGTTTTTGACATGAGAAAATTGTTTTCGATGTCAATATGGCTCCTACTTGTAGAGTGCGCCACCTACGTATTTTTTAACTGGTTTGAAGAGTAATAACTTTTCGTCCGTACCTGTATAAAACTAGCTAGTTAAAAAATATACATTTGCGACGTAAAAAATGTCTCTTGGTAAAAATCGCTACGTGTAATGGTTTTCGAAATATTTGGAATCGAAATTACCAATACCTGTCATCATTGACATAAATTAAACATATGTTGACTAATTAGTTATTAGACTAAAATCATAAATTTGAAATGTTTTTGTGCCAAAAGTTCAATAGAAACTGTTTTATCATCATTTTTTCGAAGAAAAATTTATGATTAGTTTAAAAAAATAAAAAGTTCCCAAAATTCTCATTTCAGTCAAATAACGATCTACTCGACATGTTTATTTTTAGTCAATAATGACATGTATTGACTATTTCCATTGTAAATATCGATTTTTAACAAGAGACATTTTTTAGGTAGAAAATCACGGAAATGTATATTTTTTGACTCAATTCTATACAGGTACGGACAAAAAGTTATTACTCTTCAAAACAGATGAAACACATGTAGGTGGCGCCCCCTACAAGTAGGAGTGATATTGACATCAAAATCAAATTTCTCATGTCAAAAAACTCTCAACCACCAATTTTCATCCAAATATTGACGTTACTTCAGAAATTATTTGTAAAAAATCGAAATAAAAATGAAACTTCTACACCCTGTATCTCCGAAACTAAGCATTTTAGGACATACATTTATATGAACTTTTTTACTTATTTTTATCAGTAAAATATGCTGCCGAAGTTTCCGGAATACAGTTCGGACCACCCTGTATAACAAAACTATTGTTTCTACAAACGTTAATAAAAGTTCGATAAATAATTTTTAAATTAATTTAGTTTTTAAAAAATTGACAAAAGTATTCTTAAGATTAATTTTTCAACAGTTTGCCTACGAAATAAATTGTTAAGGCCCCTACAGACAGACGCTTTATTTTTTTCGCTCAGGCCACCTGTGCAAACCTGGTGGTCTCCATAAACGTCCAACGTGCCATCGTCGTGAACCACCCTATACAGGGTGGTGACAATTTCGATGCTCAACATTGGCATCTCATAAACTACGAGAGATACGAAATTGGTTAAATGAGACAAAGTTGCGTAATTAGAAGTTTGACAAACACCTATGAAGAAAGCCCCGGCATCTTGATTAGTTTCGGATTTATATCAAAATAATGAAAATAATACGTTTATTTTAAATGACAATATCTTCAGAACTATTGTATCTATTGCAACGTAAGTTGGTAGTTTTATATTTTTGACCTCGGCCAGTTTAATGCCGTTTTCAGAAAATTTCTAAGCCTTCTCGATTTCGCACCACAACAGTCAAGTTTTTGTTTTCTTATGGCCGCCATTTTGAATTGTTATCCTACTAGATAGAGCGAAAAAAAGTCTGTACGGTGCTATCTAATTTTTATTCAATATTATGTAAATTCAATAAAAAATGGATTTTTTAAAAATTCGTCTAAGATCAAGTCTGCCTTGGAAAACCAATGGGCTCGTTCACAAAAAATAAAATACCTAATTCAAGGACAAAATCTGAAATAGAAGACTATTTTCAGTATATTTATCCAAAAAAAATAGTTCCATAACATTGAATAATTTTTTCATAGGCCCTCAAAATTGCTTTAATTTGAAATAATTTTAAAGCGCCAATTGATGACGTATGAAAAATACGCCCAATCACATTGCAGAACCGTGATCGTGCGCCAGCCAACAACTGGCAACATTGCGATTTGATTTGACCAGCACCACCTCAACTCAAGGCTAATCAACATGATATGGGTAAGGCAAATATGGCGGCGAAGGCAGCGCATTATTAAATTGTTTACCTTTAAACTGAAAAGCCGGTAGTGGTTTCTCGTTCCGATTGCATACCAGAAATAATTAATTATCTCTAGTTTGTTGTGCTTCTACAACACTTTTGTTTAGTTCTTAGTGTTCAGTGCATGGTGTGATCAGAAAATGGTGATAAAATAACAGTAATAAAAATCCAAACCAGACATACCACATAGGGAACTTCAAACTTTTGTGCTTGTCATACTCCTCTATTATTAATTATTTTAAGGTAAGAACTAGAAGTATTTATAAAGATATTACAGCTAAATGAGTAAAAAGTCTTCACCGCCAGTCTGCATAGTACTTTATAATGGTTACTTACAAAAATCAAAAGATAGGTATTAAAGGGTAGGTATTAACATTTTATTGTAGCATACCTTTTACATGCTCTGTTCCAAATTGTCACGAGAATTATAGAGGGGGTCCCAAGGTTTCTGCTTTTATATTCCCCAAAAATGACGAGCTTCGTAAGAAATGGTTGACAGCGATTAAAAGAGATAATTTCACTCCTACTAGTAGTTCTTGGGTAAGAAGTGCATTAAATATGTCTCAAAAAGCCTCTGGTACCCTAGTGAGGATGTAGTTATGGCTACTGCTTACACTTACCTCACAAGATATTGACAACATTCACATTTGAAAATATAAATGGCCTGGATGTAAGTCTTTTTTCAGGTCACAATTGACCCTCACATACGTCAGAATTTATTATTAAATCCATTTTGTTCAGAATATCCAATATTTTTATTTTATAAAAAAGTATTTAGTGTATTTTCTATATAAAATCTTGAAACACATATTATATTTTATAGTTATCCTCACCTATTATAGTTTAAATTTATTCCCATTTGTGTAATGCTGCAAAACATAGAAAAAATATTCCATATTTTTTGACTCAAGCCAGTGTAGTTTACACCAAGAGTATTTACCAAGGCTTTTACTAAGACAAGTAACTTCCTATACTGTCCATAATAGTATATATTTATCAAACGTGCAGTAAATTCTAAACTATGGTAGGTAAGTGTTTGCAATTGAATATTTAGTTTATATTGCTATTTTCTGTCATATATTTCTGGTTATTTCTTTTTTCGATGATTTTGAACACCCTATATATGCTACCAAGTTTGAATATTTACACACTAGTACACTACCTACTTATTTTCTGAGAAATCAGACCTTTTATAAAAAGTAACTAACTGATGTTTTCATAAAAGTACTAATACAAAAAATTCCATACTTATGTGGAGAGCTTTAGACTCCCTGTATATTAAAAAATTAGTGAAATATTACGTAATCTAACCCGACATTTGTGTGAAAAATGTCTATTTGGTTTGGTATAATAAAACAGGTTTTAAAATACGCACCAAATAAAGCACTTCTATCTCCACCATATTGGAAAAGGTTGAATTGCCTTGTGTGGAGGTGGTGGCGGGTCAGCATGGTGGCCCGGCCGTGTTGCCGCTTTTCAACATGCCAGGTGTGACGTATTAAAAATAAAGTGCGGATTTTTATTCTGAGCTTTTTTGTTTTTATTTATTTTCTTAAGAACAACTTCAAATTTTTCGAAAGTGAGATAGCTGAAAATTCTAGAATTAATTGCTTTATTCAATTATGCTAATTCCAAAATATAGTGAAAGAGCCCATTGACACTTTATATGTCAGCAAGTTATTTTTTGAGTCAAAACTGGACGTACAGAAATGTAACATAATGTAAATGTGATTTTTTTTCTGTTAAACGAACCAGACGTTGTAAACAAAGATTCATCCGTCCATTTTAGGAAAAAGGGAGCACTTTCCCAAAACCATCTGCAAAATTGTAATCTTCTCTCGTGATCACCACCATGTAAAAAAATGTAAATTTGGTACACATTTAAATTAAAAGTTGTGATATTTATGTTTTTTGATCATTTTCCATACATAAGAATCACTTATACAACACTGGCAATTGGTTGCTTTTTCTACGGCTAGAAGTTTCGGGATTTATTTCAATCTGAGCTGGCACATTAATATCATTAAGTCATTTAAAATATTGCCCTCTTGTCTTTTAAAGCTACCAGCAGCTGGTAACTTTCTTGAAATCCTTGCGAAAATAGTACGATGAGACTATGTCCTTTCAGGATACATCATACATATCTCGTGTTTCCTCACTTGTGAACATATTGTCGACTGTTAATACACTTTACACTATCTACTATAAATTTTTGTGTCCAGATTTGACACTTAATAGAGTAAACAAAAATTAACTTGCTGTCATATAAAGTGTCAATTGGATTTCCAAGATAGACTTAATCTTTTGAGCGAATTTTTAAAAAATCTAATTTTTTGGTGAATTTATAAAAATAAATGAATAAAAATTAAATACTACCGTATAGATTATTTTTTTGCTCTATCTAATAGTACAAAAATTCAAAATGGCGGCCATAAGAAACAAAAACTTGACTGTTGTGCGAAATCTAGAAAGGTTACCAATTTTCTGAAAACGGCATTTTATTGACGGAGGTCAAAAATAGAAAACGACAAACCACCAACTTACATTGCAATAGATACAATCGCTCTGAAGATATTGTCATTTAAAATAAACGTATTATTTTCATTTCTTTGACATAAATCCGAAACTAATTGAGGTATCGGAGTTTTTTTCATAGGTGTTTGTTAAACTTCTTATTACGCTACTTTTGTCCCATTTAACCGAATTCGTATCTCTCTTAGTTTCTGAGATGCCAATGTTGAGCATCGAAATTGTCACCACCCTATATACTGAAATTGAACATTTATAACATTCATAAAAACACAGTTTTACAGACGTTTGTATATAGAATATTAAAAGTCTAATATTTTTTATTAAATAATAATTATTTTTTTGTTAATTTTATAGACGAACAGTGTTTGCTACAATACTCATGTGCGATCTAATGTTATTCGCGCCACTTGCTTCAGTGGTGATAGCAATTTTGCTGGGAGTTATAATGCTCATTGGAAGTAGAGGTGGTGCTGGAAATCCTGGAGACATGTAAATATCATATTAATTTTTTGATTGCTAAGTAATAACACAGGGCAGAGTGTCCTATTTTAGTTGAAGTTGAGGAATCTTTCACTTATTAAAGATATAATTTGCAAATTTCACGCACTTACTTACTTATTTGTGTGTGAAATCAAAGACGTCACAAATAAAATTGTTATGGCTCTATTAGTTTCTACTATACAAGGTGATTTTGAAACCTTTGTACTTTACGACACATCTTGTACTACAGAGGTGTCATAAAATATTGGTGTAATATCGTTGATTGAAAAAATAAGAAGATGCGCAACCTTATGAGCGATTTTGTAGCACAAAAATTGTCCGAGATGTAGCTGGCGTTACCGTCAGCCTGTCCGAGATTTAGTTCAGCATTTACAGCGCAGCGGATAAAGAATACTGTATTGCAGTTCTGCTTTCACTCAACAGAGTGAGTGGTTGCCGGAGACAATATTGCCAGAACTACTGATAAATCCGTAGATTTGCGGATTTTGGGTACAGTACGTTAATAATACAGATTTTCTATCATTAAACAGTTTATTATAATATTATATGATTAAACAAAGAACGGCGTCAGAGTTGACTTGGAAATTAAGATCGCTGTTATTTCATTTGTAAAATATTATGATAAATGTCAATAACCGTAATTTCCAATCCAACTAAACGACTCTTTTCGATCATACGACATATCGGTACCTATAAAAGAATTTTTAATCTTTTTGTTGTTTATTCTTTGATTAACATGAATAAATTTTCAATAAATAAACGGGGATTCTTCATACAAAGATATTTTCGTCAAACGTATCACAGATATTACACATTTTAATATGGCAACACTGTCGCTTCCAGTTCCACACCGTCTTCGATATGCCTTCGCTAGTCATAGAAAAATAGATTGGGTTGGGTTGGGCTTTTCGCTAGCCGAATTAGAGAAAATAAGTGTTTTATGCGTTGACCGCAGAAGGATTTGTGTCCACCGTACAATACTTGAGACGTAAGGGGAAATCAAATCAGCCTTGTCACGAATTCGCCCATTAGGTTGCATATATTCCCAATTCTTTCATCAACGGTAATATGTATAATTAACTGGTATATAATAAGTATAACTATTTATGTAGAATATGTCGAAATAGTTTTTTCATATATTATACGAGCCCTAACAACTATATGTTGGGACAAGGTCATATTATGTAATTATTGCCCTGGTTTTTCAAAATGACTGAAAAATATATGTTTTTTAAATAAAAACATAGCCATATATCCTAAACAGCTTGACAATATTTTTATGAATTTGTAAATCAATCCATATTTACAGTAGCGGATTTTGTTCATAAAAGGACAAATTTGCTGACAACTAGATGTTGGGACAAGTATTTTTAAATAATTAATTTCATCATAGGCTTTGCTATAAACGTCACAAATGTCGCAAACTGTTTACTTCAGCACTGACAGCTTGTAAGTGACTCGATAATAGTGAGATTTACTCTAAGAAATTTAAATTTTTTTAATTTTCAATTTTGTTAATTTAATCCAAAGTAATGGTCCGTGGAAAAGCTACAAATCAAAAACTACGCGATATTATCAATCGTCAATACAGTACGGGAAAAACAATTCGAAAAATTTCTGATGATTTAAGTATTCCAAAAACCACGGTCTTTAATATAATAAAAAAATACGGCGAATAACGTAGACGTTAGAGGTAAAAGTGCGGGAAGGCCAAAAGTTTTAAATTTAAATTTAAATTTAGTAAAAATTTGCAAGGCTGCGAGAAGAAATACTCTTCGCGAAGTAACAGTTAAATGGAATACTATAACTGGTTTAAATATATCAAGAGAATCTTGCCGAAAATATATCCACAAATGCGGTCTGGGGTTTTATAAGGTAAACTTTATTTTGTGTGGATAATCAATTACCTAAAGATTTTTGATACAAATTCTTATTTAGGCCAAAGAAAAACCGTTAGTGACAGAAATTCAAAAGAAAAATCGCTACAATTAGGCAAAATCTAAATTATCGTGGACACAAAATGATTGGAATAAGGTCATATTTAGCGATGAGTCTAAATTTGATGTTTGCGTTGGAGATCATCGAAAACGAATAATACGAAATAAAGCAGAAGCCTTTCATAAAGATTGCTAAAAGAGGGTTGTTAAATTTCCTAAGGGGATTATGGTTTGGGGTTGCATGTCAGCAAGAGGTTTGGGCAAATTAAATTTTATAGATGGCACTGTTAACGCCCAAAAATATCAACATGAGACCTCACTTTTGCCTAGTGCTCAAGAATTGTTTCCAAACGAAGACTATATTTTCCAACAAGATGGAGCATCGTGCCATTCAGCAAGATCAACTAAAAATTGGTTCGGTAATAATAATATAAAAGTTCTATCCCATCCTTTAAGTAGTCCGGACCTCAATGTTATAGAAACTGTGTGGCATAAAATGAAGCAATATTTAAGAAACTACCCTCAACGAACAATTTTTGATTTGCGGACAAAACTGCAGGAAATTTGGGATAATTTTTCTCCGCCAATCTTTGGTAAATACAATGCCATTAAGAGTTCAGGCAGTTGTTAAGGCGAAAGGTGATGTAACTCCGTATTAAACAAATTTCTTGTTGTGCTGTCCCAATACATAGTTGTCAGCAAATTTGGCTTGATTTTGTCAAAATAAGCTATTATCAAAAGTGATTTGTTTGCAAAGTTATAAAAATATAGTAAAATTGTCTAAATCATATTGTAATGTTTGAATTTAGAATAATAAACAAAATAAATTGAGTCGTTTTAACAAACTACTATTTTTATTGCAAAAAAGACCTTGTCCCAACATATAGTTGTTAGGGCTCGTATATGTACCTATATTTTCATTTTTACAATAACGACCAATGTTTAGCATTTTAAATGGGACAGTCTGTATATTCGTCAAGACATTAATTAATTTTATATGAATAAAAGGACAATTTTCATAAATTGCATTTAAAATTTAACAGTAGTAGGCTATTGATGACAATGCCGCATCTCATCCGCCCATACATGCAAGGGACATTTAAAAGATTTGCGAGACAAGAGCGAGACGAGATAATCCGTATTGTGATTCAACAATGAAATGTTTTTCGATTTCAGATTTCCAGAAATTTGGATTTGTACCTACCCCATCTTGGGCTTATGCGGTTTTATGACGTTTTTTTGCTTCGTTTCAAGTAATCTCTTCCAAAGCGGACTAGGTGCTTTCTGCTTACAGTATCATCATCTTACGAAATATAAATGGTATGTATTATACAGTGCAATCTCTTTAACTGCATTATGGCATTATCAAAATGTAAACAACAGAGAATTCGCGCGTATTTTTTAAAGTTCTTTAACAAAACAACAGTCCTAAATCAATGTGGGATACGGTTATGGTTATGTGCGATTTTTGGAATTCGTTTTTTAAGAGGGTAAAACTAGGGGTAAAAATTTGTATAATTTAAATATAAAATACGTTCTAGAACTAGGAGTATGAAATTTTGCACAGAGGTCCCTTAAGTGATGAAGGTGAGTACTCAGAAGCGAATTTTGAACATTCATTCCCTAAGAAATAAGGGATAAAAATGTGTACAAAAATTTGTTACAATCGGTTTTGAACAGCCGCAGCCGCTACACTACCGCCGAAATATTTCACAAAATATTTCCAGAAATATTTCGTGAAACATTTCGCAAAACATTTCTGGAAATAGTACGATAAATATAAGCCCGTGTTATAAAAATTAGTTCCCACGTTTCCTAAAATTGAGCGAGACCGGCCGTGATTGGTTGTTTTTTTTTGTAAATACAATATTTGTAGCACAATAAAAAAGGCAATCAAGGTCAAACGTTGTTTTGGCTTCAGAAAAATAAGTAAACATGGAAAAACTGATATGAAAACAGTTACTGATGGTAAATTAAATTGGCTAATCCTCGAAGTTTACACAAGAATATTTAGTTTTAATCATTGTCTAATATTATTAATTACAATATAGTAAAAAAAAATAAAACAGTGACTAACTAGCGGTCTACCATTTATCGGTTTATAATCCACGGTATTGCGCCTCATGAACAAAATGTACACAACATTATTTAAAAAATCGACTAATTATTTATTATTTCTAGTAACAGTTAACATTTAAGCAAGTAACATTTAAACTATAGTCTGTAGTAAAGTTTAATTTTCTGATTTGGTTTTGTTTTACTAGTTTTAATTGTCTAAATCCCTGCCTAATTAATACTAGTTGAATGGATATATATGATACCATGCTGGGTGCTAATAAAAGTATTGTTCACAGATTTCTCTTAAGAACAGTAAAAGAACATTGCTTTTAAATAATGTCCGTGGACCATACTTTTGTTGACATCGGGCCAAATAATAATTTTCCCAAGTGGATATATTGATAATGTTACCAGTATTACTCATCAAGCAATACTCATCAGCATGATGAGTAAGTACATTATTGAGTACCAGTATTACTCATCAAGCAATACTACTCTTACATTAACCAATTAAGGCCGTAAACAAACATATCATATACAATTTTATATACTAATTCATTATAATAAAATTAAATCATAAAAATATTGTAATTCTATTTCTGTAGTTTAAGTGAAAAGTTTTGTTCCTAAATATCTGCTATACATATAATAAATGCGTGTTGAAATATTGGTTCTGTGGAATGCGGAATATATATATATATATCAATATAAAATAAAACGAGATGTAATTAACGAAATATCATCGTAACAACAGCTATTCTAGAAACGTTTATATTTACTTATTTCAGTGAGATTTATGAAAAAAAATCCTTTGCTTCCGATACAGATACCGACCGCCACGTTTTGGAAATAGCTCAAAACAAAACAAAATTGAACGAGTCGACCAAAACGCCAAAAAATCCCCCCTCGCTCTCCTCACGAGTAGTTTTCAGGCGCTTTTAAGAATCGAAAGTAGGTCGAGGCAAAGCGAAGTGGGTCAAAACAACTGGAAATAAATCGAAATGCGTACAAAGTTGGGCGACAAAATGCGACCTTGACATGTTTCGGGTTATTTCTGGCATAGTGTGTACGCTGTTTTAGAAGTATGAAATTCTGTGCAGACGTTCCTTATGTAACGTAATTTAGCACTAAGAATCAATTTTTAGAAACTTGCTGTCTCAGAGTGTGGAATGAGGGGTCTCTCAAAATCTTTGGTTCTGAAAAAAATCTGTCCTAGGACTATAAAAATTTGCGCAGAGGTTCCTTATGTAGGGCAATTGAGTAGTTAGAGTGATTTTCGGATTTTATTCAGTGGGTGAAACTAGGGAGTATGAAATTTTACACAGATATACCTTATACAGGGTGAGTCTTAAATAAGTACAAATATTTTCAGGAGTAGTATATTTCGACCCCAGGAACACGTCTATGAGGTTTTTTTTTCGCAAAAAAAAATGTTGAAAATCGTGCATTTTCTTTTAAATTTCCCTGTATATTTTTCGAAAACTTTTTAGATCTGCCTGTTCACCGCAAATTTTCCTACGGTACTTTGAATAAGAAGACTAAGGAAGGAGCATAATGCTATCCATGTATTCATGCATGGTGGGCGGAAAAAGCACCATAAAAGCACTCTAGGGTGGGGATCCTTGACAGTTCTGTTTGACGATTCATTTGACACATTTGAATTTGATTTGAAATTTTGTGGATTTGTCAGTCTTTACGGAGCTTATTTTATGTTATTTATTATTTATTCTACTACTGATAGTTGTATAAAGGTGGCAAATCTAGATGGAAATTGTGGCAGAACTTAAATTAACAGTGACACTATCGCGATTTATCGAAAAAGACTCTAAAATAGTTGGTTGTGTAGCGTGCGGTAGATCTCGGTAAAAATTGAGTGAAATAATGGAACAACTTTTCGCTAGTAAGTGACTATATAATATACATACGTGTAGTAAACCGATCATTTATGAAATTCACTTAAATTAACTAAATTATATATTTTTCTTGCATTTTAGCTTTTATTTATTACTTGTCAAAGATGAGATGTCAAAGAATTTAGATACGTTAATTTGACTTGCCTGCTTCAGTAGCGTATCGGATGTTTGTGTTAATAAATACTTACTATAACTTATCTATTTTTATTAGAATTATATATTTTTATAGCAATTTTAATAACTACCAACATTTATTCACAACGTAAAATAAAACAACAAATTATTGAGTCTACCCTACGTCTACCCTACATCATAGTTTTACATTTTTAAATAAAATTAGAACGACACTGATAAACCGGAATTTAAGTCGGCCATATTGGAGGCCCATCGCGGTGTACCTAAGATTTTTGATATGCTCCTTCCTCAGTCTTCTTATTCAAAGCTACGGTATAATTTCTTAATATCTGATATTACCATAGTTACGGCTTTACTCTATGGTTACGGTACTAAAAGAGATGCAAATACAGAGAAAATCCGGTATTTTGGACTTATTTGAAAAATGGTAAAGAGAAAATATGTTTCTTTTATCGAGATCTACCGGCCCTAAAAATATTTGCACTTATTTAAGACTCACTCTGTATAGCGTAATGGTTATCGGGCATGCACTAACTTTTGACAGAGTATTCCCATTTAGATAGAACCATAGATAAACAAATAAAAAGAGACTGACAAATTAAAAGGCAAAGAGAGGGACAACGTTCCCGTAGCGCAACTCAAAACGCAAAATTTCGTTCATAGATAAATGCAACAAGTTTAGATTGGAAAGCCCGTTCAAGGAAGGAGCATAATGCTATCCATGTATTCATGCATGGTGGGCGGAAAAGCCACCATAAAAGCTCTCTAGAGTGGGGATCCTTGACAGTTCTGTTTGACGATTCATTTGACACATTTGAATTTGATTTGAAATTTTGTGGATTTGTCAGTCTTTACGGAGCTTATTTTATGTTATTTATCATTTATTCTACTACTGATAGTTGCATAAAGGTAGTAAATCTAGCTGGAAATTCTGGCAGAACTTAAATTAACAGTGACACTATCGCGATTTATCGAAAAAGACTCTAATAGATAGATAGTAGATCTCGGCAAAAATTGAGTGAAATAATGGAACAACTTTTCGCTAGTAAGTGACTATATAATATACATACGTGTAGTAAACCGATCATTTATGAAATTCACTTAAATTAACTAAATTATATATTTTTCTTGCATTTTAGCTTTTATTTATTACTAGTCAAATATTAGATGTCAAAGAATTTAGATACGTTAATTTGACTTACCTGCTTCAGTAGCGTATCGGATGTTTGTGTTAATAAATACTTATTATAACTTATCTATTTTTATTAGAATTATATATTTTTATAACAATTTTAATAACTACCAACATTTATTCACAACGTAAAATAAAACAACAAATTATTGAGTCTACCCCACATCTACCCTACATCATAGTTTTACATTTTTTAAATAAAATTAGAACGACACTGATAAACCGGAATTTAAGTCGGCCATATTTGAGGCCCATCGCGGTGTACCTAAGATTTTTGATATGCTCCTTCCCGCAACTCAGAACGCAAAATTTCGTTCTATTTATGTTGATCTGCGCATTGCGTCTATTGGGCCCACTATCTCATTCTAATATAACAAGAGAGAAAGAAGCAACCATATAAAACGTAATTTCTAAATAGAAATTAGAACAATCGCCTTTCGTTTTCGTCATCATGACAACCAAGATGACAACATCATGACTATTCGTCATGTTTGTTAATTTTTCTTTTGGTGATTTACCTTTTTTTCTAATCTTTCCATTTTATTGACTTATGAATATGGATAAGGAACAAATTCCTTTGTTCCATATAGGTATTTATATTTTGTTACTTATAATTTTAGGTTATACTATTTGTTATTTTATTTGCTGCAGGAGCCAGTATCATCTATTTTCTATAGGCATCAGTGCCCCCTTTCTCTGATAGATATGTTAAAGGCACCCGGTAAAATAAAAGTAAGTAGTTATATTTATCATTTTATTAAGAAAAAAGTAGAAGTAGTAGTGTCAAAAATATTTCGAATCTCTCTTAACATAACAAATTAATACAATTATTTTTTTTCATTTTTTGGGTAGGTAGTTTATAGCTGGTTTATAGTAACCAGAAACTTTATTAATATACCTATTTTACTTTTGTTTTGGGATTAAAACTGGACTTGAAAATGGTTCACGATCATGATTCTCGTAAAGTCTTCTTTGCTTGGATATTCACTTTGTTATTGCAATTAGGCAGTTTTTTCGAAAATGAGATTTTTAATGCCCTTTAAAAAAATTGGCCGATCGTTTCCTGCAACAGTCAGTTCTTCTGCATTTAAAATTGGTAGGTGGGTGGAATAAACACTGTTATTTTTTTATTATATTATAAAAAAGTTTATTTATTTTATGTATAAATAAATATGTTTATAAAACAGTACAATTTTTTGCTTTTTTTATATAACTTCCTTATAATAGTAGTATTTTTCAGCTTTGAAAGAAACTGTAATTTCTTTTCACTTAAACTGATTTATTCCCTACACCACGTTCCCTTTACGTGGTATAGGGAGTAAATCAGTTTAAGTGAAAATTTTCAGTTTCAGAATGAAAGAATACTACTAATAAAGGCTAATTTAAATTTTTCGCCAGCCAGAATGTGCGATAATGTCTTACGATACGTTTTATACCTATCTCTTTCTTTTTCATATAAAGCACACATAATAAAGAAAGATAGCAATAAAGACGTATCCCATAACTAGGCAACCACACTGTATATTCATCAATCGAAATGATTCGTTAATCAGAATACGTAGTTCTTAGTTCCAATTTCCAATTACCTTTTCCGATTAAAGGTTGATTCTCACTATACCTTCCGTTTCCATTCGATATCCGTTCCGTATTTTTTATAGTATTGACGCTATACGTAAGCTTCCGTTTCATATCACTTTCATAATTTTAAATTGTACAATTTATATCATTACGAAAGTTTTATTTTAAAAATGTGTATCTTTTGAAAAAGGTAATAGATTTAATTAAGAGGTGAAAGAATAAATAAATATCAGCAAAATTTTAACAGAGCTGGTACAAATGTAAGAACTTGACAACGCTTTTTCCTATACGCTTCAGTCCGTCCGTCAAAAAAACGTATGGTAGGAAAGGGTATGGAACGGAAGGGAAACGGAACGGATAGTGTGCATTGTCCTATTCATTTACGTGATATAATATTTTATATAAACAGAAGGGAGCTGATATGGAAGGTGTAGTGAGAATTAACCTTAAAGAGGTTGCACTGTATTACGTTAAACACACTTACTACAGTAGTTTCTAATAGTTTTTACATTTTAGGTGTAATCCAGGAATGGATCATTATACTATACAATTTACGCCCGAGTTTAAAGGACCTCCCGCTCCATTTTATCGCAATTACATTTTAGGCACTATGAGTATTATTATAACGCCCATCTTATGGCTCATTCAGGCCACTCTGTTTTTGCTTCGAATAATATTTTTAGTCGATTTTAAAGTGTACCTAACGAAAATTCAACCAAGAGATAAGGAGGTGGTAAGTTCTGTAAATATTATTGGGAATTTAATTTTATTCCATCACCAAATTTCCTTCTGATATTTTAACATTTTTACTTAAAAGTAATGAATAGTGAAAATTAGCGGCGAAGCTTCTTAAAATTCTAAGTAAATTTATTCGAATAATTAAATTCAATTTAAATTATTTAATGTGTATATTGATCAAGCTTTATAGATAACGCTAAGACCTATGCTAAGCGCTAGAAATAAAAATATCTTGACAGCGCGATGATGCGATTGTCCTTGTTACATCTTGAAGGTGTACCTGAACTATAGTATAAGGAAACTAGTAGCTTTACTCCTTGTCAAATCCTTTGTTCTTTTTCTGCCACTTTATATGACCTTGTTCTCGCGTCCCGTGACCACTGACGTAGCTGTATAGTCGTGGTCTATCACTAGGCAAAGTATAGTCGTGGCACTCGCCATAGTTTCACAGAGATGTGTAGGAAAATATGAGCTCACAATAAAATAAAATAAAAAAATTGATCATCTAGTAAAAATTTGCTTGAAAACAGAATATTTTCACATTTCGTGTAAGTAACAATAATTATTGTTCTGTATCTAAAAATCTTCTGATGGGAAGAAATGCGGAAAAAATATATGACATATTCTTATATTATTATCTATTTCAAAGATTTTCTATAACTTTTTTTTTAATTTAAAACAAATTTAATTTTAACATTAATGTGTTTGTTTTTTAGTAACATATTGGTTAGGTGATTCTCATTGGATAACTAATACATTGAACAACACATTGTACTAAATAATAAAATAACATATTTAAACTTCAATAATTGCTAATAAAAAAAAGCTTTTGAAATTTCAAAAGAGAAAAGAAGCAAGAACAATGAGAAATAGCATCACTACTATCTCACGTTAATAAAAGAATATTTTTTTAGTTATTGTTACCGAGTCCCGAAGGTACCGAAAGAACCGGGAATTAATAATTTCGAGTCCCGGTTTTTTGATATCTCAAAAGAACCGGGAATTTCCGGTTGAGCCCTAGTTACCTTATCAAGAAATTATGTTTTTTAACTAAAAATTAAAAAAAATTCCAGATATTTTTTCAAAAATTTCTGGGGCTAAAATATACTACCCCTAAAAATATTTGTACTTGCAAATGGCGATTCACGGTTATGGTATGTTATAGCGGTTGCGGAACCGTATCTGATTTTCGGAACCGGTATAATTTCGGTACCGTGCTCGGTACGATTGATTATTTTTATAACTTTTTACATCTTTTGTATATTTTATTTTGTTTTGGTTTGGTTTGGTTTGGAAATTTCTACACCCTGTATCTCCAAAACGGAACATTTTAAGACATAACTTTATACAAAACTTTTTACTTATTCTTACTTGTAGAATAATTTATTGCCGTAGTTTCTCGAATCCATTCCAGATCACCCTGTGTACATGTTTCATATTTTTTTTATTTTTGTAAGGTTTTGGCATATCATTGCATATTAATGACAATTTGGCGAAGGTAATTTCTCGCTGAGAAAACTTTACTTTTTACGCACAGAATTCTCATTCATCCCAAATATTGTCTACCAATAAAGTTCTTGGTTAATTTTATGTAGGTGCAGTCGTCTGTCCGTTCTGTAGCTACGGGGTATCCGTGAGAGGGGAAACGATATTCTCTCGATGTTTGTCGTAAAAAATTAGACGACGCGTCCAATCAATAAAAATTCGATAAATTTGGAAGTAGCCAATAAAATGATTGGGCGGAGCGATTTGCGGTGACGTACTCGTCAAGTCGACGCATAAAATATATTGCTGTTTATTTAAATGTTTTTTGTCCGCATTTCTTTCCTAGACACAGATCCAGCAGACGTACTGTAACTGTTGATTAGACCGTCTGATATTGTAGAACTGTGAACAATTTTAGATATTAATTACTTTAAATTTATCTTTTATTTTCAGAAAAAGACTCCAGCCATTGCAAAAGTTGCTACAAAATTGATGGAACATAAGAGAAACTAGGTTATATTTCCCAGTACATTTTCTTTTGGCCCACACATATATGTAATGAAAATTAGTCAGACACAGGGTTGCCAGATTTTCCGCGTTAGGGGGAAGAGTTATCTAGCCATACATATTTTTAACTATCCATAATATTATTACTAATTGCAATCTCTTCGTAATATTGCATTAGCATCACTGTCTCGCTTTTTATTAAAATGATCTGGTAATCCTGGTCAGAAAACATAAGATAAAGTCTGTCCAGCAAGAGAAGAAACGATGTTTAAAGCATTCAAAAAATGACAGCAAATACTTCTAGTCATCAGTCTTCGAGTTAAAATTACAAATCAATTAAAATTACAATTACGATTATCTATCACTGTTATTATTTTCTTTGAACAAACCATTGTTTGAATGGATGTTAATTTATTTGTATGCCCTTTTTCTGATAGTTTGTTGATTTTTTTTTTACTTTTTCTGAGTCGGTTTACTGAAACTACTGCTCTTATTGCCATTACTCAGTTTCTGTTTATCTCACTTTTGTTAAATTTAGTGTAGTTTAGTTGTTTTAACTCACTTAATCATGTAGTAAAGGTAAATAAAATTAATTTGAGTTTGTGAGTGATTTTTTGTGCCAAAGACAGATTTGAGTTGGTTTACACACAGATCACTTGACTTGGTTTAGAATTTATTTATATAATTTTGGAGGAAAACTGATATTAAATGAAATAACCAGTATGGAGTGGAAAATTATATTCAGAAACTTTTGCAAACAAAAATATACCATACGAACGAAAACAAACCGACGCGGCGTCAAAGATAGCTGAGGAATGAAATCGATGATAATTTTGGCGAGGTCAAGCCCTAGAGAATATTGCTTGGCCCACACACTTTTTTTTTAATAGCGCTTACTCCCAGTTGGCCTTAAAGGTGCGTTCACAGCGGCTGCGTCGCTCCGCGCCGCGCAAAACATTTTTTTAACATGTACTTTTGAGTGTATTTTTTTTAGCGCGCACAAAATATATGTTAAAAAAAGATTTGCGCGGTGCGGAGCGGTGCAGCCGGTGTGAACGCACTTTAAGAGGTTGTAAGTTGTAATTTATTTTATGTTGAGGTTGTAATTTATTTTTTTATACCGAATGCGTCTGAAAAGTGGCTCACCCCTAAAACTTTTTTATTTTTTCAGATAAAAAAACGAGATTTGGTATGGTAGTATAGGATATAAGTTACGATTGAGTGACATATTCAATTGTTTTAAATCACTTCCGGTTTCATGTGAAATGACTACAAATTTTGATTTTTAAATGGCACCCTCGGAATTTTTTTTACTTTATTCGATAGAAAATGACATTCTGAATCCAATGACTTATCATATGTCAACTTTTGACATTTTCGCATATGGTTTATTTGAAATTGTAACATGCGGTTCATAACGACAATATGACTCGAAATACCAAGTGTGTGGTATCAAATTATTCGTAAAAAAATGCTTTTTTCAAATATGCTAGTTTCCAAATGAGCCAGCCTCATTCCATTTGAAAAAATTGAGATCTGATTAAAAATTCGATTTGGGCATCTTTTAACCGACAAGGACAAGACACTAAAAACATTAGACGATCAAATATATTTTTCCAAGGCTCCTTGACTAAAAATTTGTGTTTTTAACACAGCACTCTAGATTGAAATTTAAAATACAATTTGTCTTTGAGCGAATATGTCAAAAGTTGACATATTATATGGTATTCGATTCAGAGTGTCATTTTCAATCGAATAAAGGAAAAAAATACAGAGGGTGCTATTTAAAAATCAAAAGTTGCAGTCATTTCCGTTGAAACAGGAAGTGACCGAAAACAACTAAATACGTCAATGTATGCTAATTTATGTAATATACTAACATATCAAATCTCGTTTTTTTATCTGAAAAAATAAAAAAGTTATAGGGGGGAGCCACTTTTGAGACGCACCTGGAATATAATTCACAATACGGGGACTTATTGATATTTTGAGAAAAATGCATTCTCTAACTTCTCTGCTTACCTTAACAACAGCAAACATGACGTTAATCACAATTAACAATAACCATCTATCAAGGCATGAAATCGAAATTATATTACTATAGAAAGGCCTTTTGATTTTTAGGACTTTAGGAAAAAATTTTACTCTATTTTTATGTTTTTTTTAAATTTTCTCTATAACATAGAAAAACAACATAGAAATCTGGAAAAGTATAAATTATTAGGCCATTTTAGAACAAGCAAAAATCTTTATGAAGAATGCATTTTTCTCATATGTCAATAATAAAACAGTTCTTCCTCTTGTAAAGACAATCCGGTTACATACTGTATATACAAAAAGAAATTCTTTTGGAAATAGATTTGTGTTTTCAGAAACGCCTTCTATTCTTTTTTAATCGTTCTCACAGTTAGCCTGGGTCAAGATGTCAAGAAAAAAAATATACAAACTTTGAGTGCTTTGTTTTTTAAATGCCGATACCACTGGCTTCAAAAAAATATAAAAATTAAAATCGCCGACGTACAATTGGGGTCTCTACACGAATTTAAAAAAAAATCAACCAAATTAAAAAGCCCGCAAAAAGTTTTGTTAATTAAATAACGACCATCAACACCAAAAGGTATGCTTACTTTTGCCTCCCTCCCTGTTTCTAAATCCAGGAGGTTGGGTCTCTGCACAAATTTAAATAAAAATAAACAAAAAAAAAAATTTTCTAAGATTTTAGTGATAAAATTTTACTTTATGATCATAAGTATTATTAAACAAGTAAAACTTCAAACTAACAATTAAGGAAGTACAATTAATAACTTTAACACACACTGAATTTAGTCTAAAAAGGAAGAAAACAATTTGGTACTAGCTATAAGTAAATAAATAAATTTTAAACATGGTTAGTTATTGTTGTAGGAAGCAACACTCCTAAGGAGATTTTTTTGACCAATTTGTCTGCCTGGCCAGGTGGAAATACCATTTGTTTAAAAAACGTGAACTTACTGATGATTTCCATTTAAAACTGAGCATAGATAGTGGAAGTGGATCTTTAAAAACTTGTCTGTCTTTATGTTGTTACGAAAATCCCGAAATAAAACAAGAAAAACATAAAAGTACCGGAATAAACAAACGCATTATAATAGGATTGGCTCCCAAAATAATAGAAACCTACAAAAATATCAGAGCAATGTTTGAGATTTTGCAACACCATACTATTTGTGGAGTCAGTTCTTACACATTTTCCGCAGATCTAAAGTTAATGATTATATTGGGCCTTCAATCTTTATCATCATGCCATCCATGTGCCTGGTGTGATGTTAACTCAAAAAATTTACAGTCAAAGGGAGAACTAAGATCCATAAAAGATATTTCCAAATGGAGTACATTATAGAACGAAGAGACAGGTGGAAATTTAAAAGAAACAAAAAAGTACAGTAAGTGTACTGCTAAGTTTACTTTATTGACTTTTTTAATAGCTATTTTTTGCAAATTTTAATTAAAATTTTTAGAGAATTGCGTCAACATTCCTTTAATAACTGGTGATGACAATCTTCCAATTATCAACTATATATTTATTTAGATGGGAGTTGTACAAAAAATATACGATTCTCTAAAAAAGGACTTTCCGGAAATTGCTGAAAGTGGCTAAGAAGTTCTGGGATACAATAGACCATTACAGCAGATTTAATGGAAATAATGCCAGACACTTGCTTAAAAAAAGTTGACGTCCTTAAAGCACTAGATCCTGGTACTTACTTTGTAACAAAACTTTAATTTATTATTGTTATTTGGACACTAAGCCCTTTGCTTATTTTTTTAGACAACAAATACATAGAGGTATTTTGTACCTTCAATGATGTGGTAGCCAGCTGTTTAAAAAATAAGAGATACGAAAATCAGTTTTACTCCAAAAATTCACGCTGTTGTTTACCATATACTGGATTTTGTTAGTATTTCAAAGAAAGTATTGGGCTTTTACTCTGAGCAAGCCTCAGAGCAGATGCATCATTCTTTTAAGTTGTTCTCAAAAAACTTTAATTCAAATCCGAGATCCCAAAAAATTATCAAAAAAATCTCCTTAGGAGTGTTGCTTCCTGCAACAGTAACCATGTTTAAAATTTATTTATTTACTTATAGCTAGTACCTAATTGTTTTCTTCCTTTTTAGTCTAAATTCAGTGTGTGTTAAAGTTATTAATTGTACTTCCTTAATTGTTAGTTTGTAGTTTTACTTGTTTACTAATACTTATGATCATAAAGTAAAATTTTATCACTAAAATATTAGAAAAAAAATATATTTTTTGCTTTTTCTATTGGATTAAAGTCTATTTTTATTTAAATTTGTGCCAAGACCCAACCTCCTGGATTTAGAAACAGGGAGGGGAGCAACAGTAAGCATACCTTTTGGTGATGATGGTCGTTATTTATTATTAACAAAACTTTTTGCGCGCTTTTTACTTTGGTTGAAAAAGTTTTTTTTTAAATTTGTGTAGAGACCCCAATTGTACGTCGGCGATTTTAATTTTTATATTTTTTTGAAGCCAGTGGTATAGGTATTTAAAAAATAAAGTACTCAAAGTTTATATTTTTTTTTCTTGACATCTTGGCACAGGTTAACTGTGTTCTATAATAGGTGCTAGTTTTTGACAAGAGTTATGTCAATTTTCAGCAAGTGACGAATAGAGGTTAACCTCGTTAAAATATTATCGATTGCCATTCCCCAGCCGTCTTTGACGTTGATTTTTTCGCACATTCATGGCCGCTTTCATTTTAAGACTCTTTGAAATTCTGCGATGGGGGACTAATGACTGAAGATTGGTGAAATGGATTGGGTAGTGCAGATACGTAAATATTACACTTAACTGGTACCTACAGGAAGAAATCATGTAGAATATCATCGCAATATACAACCTCAGGGAATCAGATCTCAAATGCTAATGCCTCAAATGCTTCGTGCTATTTTAACATTAGAAAAATCTACTGCAGGCGGGGTAGTAGGGTTTTCGTATAGTTTGAACAATATTTGCAGCTGCACTAAATGCTGCGGTATACTTTTTTTACTGTAAAGCAGGCATGCATTAATCTTTAACTTGCAGGTATTATAAAGTCCTGTGTGCACTAGTGCTCTCCAACGGAAAACAAAAACTCACGATGCAATGAAGATAACATAATGACCCCTTAATATTACCATTATATGAAAGGTTAAATTTAGACTTTAATTAAATTTTGCCAACCCTGTAACTATTAAAAAGTTAGACCTATGAAAAAAAAATGCATTTAACCAATTTTGTAGAGAATTTTTTGAGCTTCAATTTTCTGTATAACGTATTTTTTCGTAGGTGTCGTATTTTCCGAGATATAAGCTAAAAAGCCATAAAAGTGACATTTAACCCATTCCTTTTCCTCGAGCTCATCCTCTATCTTCGGGAACTTTTGACACATATCAGTCCAAGTCTAGAGAAATCATTTAAAACCATTTTCAAAACTGTGGGATTTTTTTGCACCGATTTCTCTAATTTGACTGGGCTAAAAACTAATATTGATAAAAAATATTAAATAAACTTCGATAAAATTTTCCTGTTCTGTCCAAAATCTCCTGTTTCTTTTCAGTTTCTA